CGAGGACACTGAAAGGGTTCAGACACTGAATTCTGGAATAAGAGGAAACAGAGTATCTGGACAGGGAGGCGAGAAGCTGGCGAAGGGCACATGAGCAGCACAGTCATTCTTGTGATGAATGGAGCTCCTGCAGCTCAGAAAACTGAGCACAGGGAATGCACAGGACAGTCACTGAGATCCCTTTCGCTCTTGCTGCCTGCGGGTGCTTCTCACAAACATCAGTTCCCAGCTTCAAGAGATACATGCTCTAGGGAAGGACAGGCATCTCTGGACCTCTTGCAGATAGCCACTCCTATGCTCAAGGGACAATAGAGCCACTGAAAGGGAAGGATGAGCAGGTTTCACTGGCAGAAAGAGTCAGGTGAATCCATGTTGGGTAGGCCAGCTGTCCAACATCCAATCCCTGCTTAGGGAAGGCGTCCTGGGTGTGGTCCTGGGTGGGCAATGTCTTGCTTCCTACTATAAGAACTGAAAGGACCAGATTCATACCTACCATTCTGATGCTTCAGGCCTAAGGCACAGGCCAGCTCAGACTCTTGAGCTCCTGAAAAACCAAGAGAGCCTTTTCATCCTAGGCTGGACAGACACGCTCTCCCTCCAGAAATCCTGAAGGCTATTCCTGACAGGAAGGAATAACAGAGGGAGCAACACACAAGTGATTCTTGGCCTGTGTCCTGCGGAGGCACTTACCCAGTCCGGGGCCTTCAAGGCAAGCTGCACAAGACCCCTCTGCCAGCAAAACTGATCCCTGAGAGGCACAGCAACTCATTAAAGTTTCCCAGTATTCACTGCACCCTGAAGACCTTGGGAATCCAGTCAAGCTTCCGTGTTTGTTCCCATCCTGCTAAAGGCCTGTCTTACTTGGACCAGCAGGTTATGCACTGTTCATTCCAGGACGGACACTGAGAATAAGGCTCAGGGCAAGGCCTGAGGGCAGGGCCTCCACACACACAGAAGACTTCAGTTATCAGCAGCTACGGACAGGATGGTGAACTGGGGTCTGAACTGAAGAGACAAGCCCAGGGGTGCAGCACGTGGCCAGCCGCCTTTAGCAGGTGTTTGTATTTTGCAGGGTATTGCTGGAAGCTGCCACGGGTGGCAGGTCAACATTTGGAAGAGAAGTCGGTTTGGAGCAGAGGAAGTGGAACCCCGGAAGGATGCGAGGACATCTTCAAGGTCAGATGCGGATGTCTGCTCTGTGGACGGAGAGTAAGGGGCACGGAGTGGAGCCCTGAAGGCAGAAATGGTGTCACCTGGCTGAGCTAGGATCATAGCACAGGGCAAGCCGATCACATGTCTCCTGCTCCAAAGCCTTCCTCGAAAGTCAAGTCTACTCTGTGCAGCCCACGGCGGCCCGCGCACCTGTCCTTCAGCTCCGTGTCCTCGAAGTGCCAGTCAGTACCCTCCCACCTGGGAGCGTTTAAATTCAATTTAAGTAATTGAATTAATCAAATGGGATGACTGAATTGTAACTGAGCTTCATTAGCTCTAATGATCGCATTAATTAATTGAACGTAACCAGATGTTTCTCCCTGGGGAGTGATGCCAAGGAAGGTGGAACAGGAGCATCTGAGATGCCAGCTGAGCAGGCTGAGAGCAGGCTCGTGCCTTGCAGCCCTGCCCGGCTCTCCAGGGCCAGAATGCTGCCTGTTGCACAGTAGGTGCTCAGATAGCAACTACCGTGTGCCAAGCCCTGTAGAGCACACAGAACACCCCTCCCCGCGGTAGGGATGTCATTTTCCTTAGGGGCCATGTGCAGTAGAGCCCCATGGAAAGAAAGTTTGGGAAATTAATACACAGAGCAACTGCTCTGCTACCACTTCCTCCCCAAGCCAAGTCCCCCAAAATGTTGGTACACAAAGAAACAGAGCAGTCCGTGGCTCCTGATGTAATGTGGCTCACTAAACCTGGCTTGGTTGGAAGCCCAGTTGCAATGGCACAGAACATCTGGCCTCTCCCTGGTTTTTCTCTCTCTCTCTCTCTCTCCCTCTCCAGAACCTGTGTGAGCTTCTGAAAAGCCCTATGGCCTACTGTCCTGGGAGTGAAGATAGAGGAGGCTCTACTGAACGTAAGGCAATGTATATGAATACCCTCCCACATGCTTCCGGGGGCTGCAGAAGTGATGGCTTCACACACCAGAGTGGGCACATGGCCCTTGCGCTGTGAACTTTAGGAAGAAGCAGAACAGGGCCAGAAGGCAGAGCAAGAGCCTCTGGAAAGCTTGTCTTCATAGAGTGACTTCCCTGGCAGGGAGGGAGGGGCCTGTAGAGATGAAGCAGATGCTCAAGTCCCCAGGGGTGTGAGAGTCTTAGGTGTCCACTCTTACCTTCCTGCCGGGAGATGGGGCACCTTGGATCCTGCTGCCCAGGTAAAGCCCTGCCTATAAAACAAAACAAACAGGGAACCGATTGAGTCAGAAGAGAGGAAGCTGCTGGCAGCCCAGGAGGGTTTTACAGCCGGAGGGGAGAGTGGCTATCGGCCCCATAGCCAGGTGAGCAGAAGGCTTCTCCTGGCCCAGCCTCCAGCACAGAATTAGATTCTCCTGGGTGTGCAAGGAGACCCCCACAGGATGTCAGGCAGGGGCGGGGCTGGCTCCACATGAGGAAGGCTGCCCAGACCACACAGTTCTGTCAGGACCTTCACCTAGGTCTTGTGTCTCTCCTCCCTGCTTCCAGCCCACACACAGGCCCTGAATCCAGGCTCTGAACAACCAGGCCCTCCTGGTCCAGCCCCAGAGGCAGAGGAGGGACAAGAATGCCGACCAATAGACGTTAAGGAAATGGGGCAGGCCGAAGGTGGTCGGGTAGAGCTTCTGGGGAGGTGGCCTCTGAGCAGAACATCTCAGGGGAAAGAAAGTACCAGAAGCAATGAATGAGGAGCAGAGTAGTAGCAGGCCCAGCTACTAGGGGCCATTGTAAGACCCCTGGAAGGTATTAGCTATTTTTCTTGTCACTGTGACAAAAGGCCTGACAAGCAATTTGAGGGAGGAAGGTTTCACCTTTGGCTCAGTTTTTGAGGGTTCAGTCCATCGTGGTGGGAAACACATGGTGGCCAGAGCCTGAAGCAGCTGGCCACAGTCCTCAGTCAAGAAGCAGAGGGAGATGGAGGCTGGCTCCTATTGCTTCCTCCTTTTCATTCAGTCCAGGAAGCTATGCCATAGACCGGTGCCACCTGCATTTAGAGTGGGGTTTTCCCACATCCGTTAACCTAATCTAGAAACTCCGCCACAGACATGCCCAGAGCTTTGTCTCCTGGGTGATTCTAGGGGTCGACGGTCACTAGTGACTGTGACAGGGTAGCTTAGACAAGAGCTGCAGCACCGTTCTGAGGGAGGAGCTGATGTGTAGCAGAGGCCGCCTGCCCTGGCCTTCAGTGAGTGGCCCGTGTCCTTCAGAGGCAGGTCTAGTATAGGCCTATCTAGCTGCTGTAGTGTTCCTGTTTGAGGGCTCTTGTGGTGTGCCTGAAACAGAAAGGCCTCTGTGTCCATCAGTCCACAGACATTAACCCTAGGCCTAGAGACGCCCGCTGGTCCCAGCCAGATGCCTGATGGGAAACAGAGACAATGGGTCTCTCTGTAGGGCCCCGATAGGTTCCTAGCCCTCTGACCGTGACTCAAGGAGTAGGGAACAGGGACAAAAAGCCTGCCACTGAACAAGGAACCTGGTGTGGGGCCTTCACTGTAGCCGTGGGGCCATGCCTTTGAAATGTCGATGTCGTCTGCACCCTGGCTGGTGTACCAAAAATACTATTTGCAGTATATGGAGAGGGAGATGCTAACTGTGAGGTGCTAGCCAGATTTCAGCAAGCTAACTGTTAAGTAAACTATGGAGACCTTTGGAGGCGTTTTGCAAATTGTCATCTGCTTTGCAGAGTCTGTCTGGTCAGCCGCTGTCTGGTTAGCGCGCTGCACTCTGGAAGAGGAATGGTTTACCAGCTGTGGAGCAGGCTTTCTCAGAGTGCCCTTCTTGGGGAGAGACGCAAAACCGAGAGGCTTGCAGAACTGGACCAGGTCAAGGCTCTGCCGCCTCCTGGCGGCCGGAAAAAGGCGATCTGGCCGCGCCCTAAGACTACGGACTGCCGCAAGGAAGAGCCTGCGCGTGCGCCAGCCGAAGGGCACGCCCACTTTAGCCGGTGGGCGTTCACACCTCCACGCCTGGCCGTCAAGAGTCTCACTTTCGTTATTCACTCAACAAAAGTTGACGAAAGTCCTTTTAGGGATTGGCAGTTTCTTTTCACAGGGACACAGTAGCGGGGGCACATCTGTCCTGATGACGCTGAGATTTAAGTCACGGCTGTCCTGTCCTGTAAGGCCGCCCTAAGGCAGTTGCCAGGAAAATGAGACTGGACCCGCCAATCATCATCACCTCTGGCTACCAGCAGACTTAGATGGCAGCGAGTCAGGTGGCCTCCACAGGGATCTGGTCATGGAACAAAGCACCTCAGCATAGCACCCTAGTACCCCGTGTCCTCCCGTGAATTGTGGCCAGGCAAGTATGAAGCCCTGGTGGGCTGGCACCCTCCAGGCCCTAGCTATGCTGTCCTGGCATGGTCTCAAACTAAGGATTCCGCTTAGCCATCCTGCGACTCCCCTCCTCCCACCCCAGCTCCCCAAGAAAGCAGGCATGTCACAGTCAGTCTCACACAGGTTTTTTTTTTTTTTTTTGGTTGTTTGGTTTTGTTATTTGGTTTATTTTTTTAATTAAAACAGCAATAGGTCCCTGCCCCGGGAAAGGCTGGGAGAGGCAGGCCTCTTTCACAAAAATATATTTTCTTTCTTTTTTTTTTAAAAAAAACACCACCTATTAGCGTAAACCTATTAGCTCCCATGAGCTGGTCACACCTAGAGAGTTGGTATGGCCCCCCAGGTGGCCTTGAGCAGACAGCTTGAGCTATCCTAGGGACTCCAGCCTGAGCACAGGGGCGCCTGTGAGCCTGCTGGTCCCCAGGGTTAAGTGATCAGCTCCACACCATGCAAGAAAAACCGGCGACACCCACAGAGCGAAAGGCAACAAGGATAATAGTTTAAAAAGAAAGACAGATGCCAGTGGAGGTGGTGGCCAGGGGCTAGGTCAGTGTGCCCCTTAGAGACCACTGGCCAGTGCTGGGTGAGGGCCTTGGGCAGCTCAACACGTCTCCCAGGAAAGTCTTAGGGGATTCACATGGCTCATCCCCATAGTGTGTCCTCAGCACCTAAGATGGGACAGAGATGTCCCCAACCAGGCCACAGTATATGAAGTCTTTCAGTTGTGGTTTAAAATATATATACAACCTGGGTGGCATCCAGGACAATACCAAGGCTATATATAGCCTGTCCATACAGGCACTGGCTGCCTGCTCTTCAAGAGGCAACAGCATCTGCCGGGGTACGCAGGCCCCTCCAAATTCTTCCCTTGAGTGGAGGCCTGAGACCCTGGGAGCAGCAACAGCAGAGGCACTGTGGGGCCCATAGGGCCTGGCTAGGACCCCCTGAGGTCTGGTTCTTTGGCGTTTGGGGCAGCTAGTTGCACAGCCAGACAGGAACAACCCCCTCAATTCCTCCTGGGATGCCCAGGGCCAGATTGGCAGTAGCTTATGGCTGCAGGGTGATGCTGCCCCAGCAGAGGGGTATGGACGCTGGCAGACCAGTGGGGTCCCAAGCCAGTCCCCTATGAGTCTTCTCCCAGGATCTCCTTCACAAATGCAGCAATGTCCGTCTTCTTAGTTTTGTGCAAGGTGAAGAAAGGGTGCTCCTGGTAGGAAACAGAGGCGCAATTTCGGGGGGTGAAGGGGTACGGAAGGTATAAAAGGGAGGTTTACTCCTCCCAAGCCTGATCTACCCAGCATGCTCCTCCCATCTGGCCAACTCCTGCTGGTCCTTCAGTACATAGAAGCCTTCCAAAACCATCAGTGCTTTGCCTCACCCTCCTGCAACAGTCCTTACCACACACAAACATCTCTTTCCTCAAGGGTATCAGGCCTCTGCTCTACCAGACCCTCTACCCTTCCTTCATCAGCAAAGAACCCATATCAATCCTGCCAGGCTCGGTTCAACTGGCATCTCCTCTAAGAAGCCTTCCCTGATGCCACGTTGATTCCTGTGCCCCACTGTCACAGCACTGCGCACCCTTCCGCAAGGCCTGGGACGCTTGTGTAGACAGAAGAGAAGCGGGGGCCAGGCAGAGGAGCTACCCCTCCACCCCAAGACACAACCCTCTCCAGACAGCCCCACCCCAGCCACTACACAGCACAGAGGGCGGGGTGGGGCGGGCACTCCCCATGCACACTCACCATCAGCTCCAGGTAGCTCATGCGCTCCGCGGGGTTCTTCCTTAGGCTAGGAAAGAGGGCAGTGAAGCCAGGCTCACACGGAGGAAGCGAAGCTAGACAGGCTGGGCTTGCCCCCATTAAGCGGCATACTCCTGGGGCTCAGAGAAGGAGCGAGACTGTCTGGGGGGGCCTCACAAAATGGCTCAGGGTCCATGGGTACAAGCTACAGTCCTGCAGCAACTTTCCCTGACTCTTGGAGTCCAGTTGTCTCCATAGTGATCCAGGCTATGTCCATGGCAGTGACCCTGAAATGCTCTGCCTAATGACCACATACTAGATTACCCTTTATCAGAAGGGAAGTCTTCAATCGAAGCTTCTGGAGCGTGAAGTCCAGTCAAAAAGGGTCAAACTAACCAATGAGTCTTGCTATTGGGCTCGTCTGCGTTCAGTTTTTCCTGTTTTACATTGAGAGGCTTTAAACTTGTTCTCTGAGCAGCTCTGGGCCAAAACACTTAAGGGTTGTTGGTTTGTTCTCACTAGTTTCTTCTTGAAAATTATTTTCTAAATCTCTCTTGTAACCCAAAAGTTATTTATGAGAACCTATGTTTATTTAAATATGGTTAGAGGGCATGGTCTGTATAACTGCTTTTCTTATTGTTTTGTAAACACACAAACACACACACTATTCCTCCCCTCTTTGGGTCTACCTGATCCATCCTTTTCTGAGAAGACAAACTAAAACCTCCCACTGGGACTCAGGTTTTGCTTCTGCTGGAGCTGTCTACCTCCTACCTTCTGACAGCAGGTGGCTCGAGGGTTTACTTGCTGCAGGAGAAGGGGACACAGCCCAGACACTCACCACTGGCTAGTGAAGTCCACAAACTCAGGGGAGAACTGGTCAGCTGGAAGCTGTGGGGATGGTTCCTCCACCACCTGCTTCAGCTGCTGGAACGGTGTCCCCCAAGACTCATACGGGAATCGCAGAATGGCCATCTCGATCTGCAGTAGGAACAGCAGGATCAGCAGGCTCCACCTAGCAACAGGCCAGGTACGAGGGTACCAGTTCTGAGCTCCCCTGACAGGGAAGGCAGATAGAGCTCAGACTAAGGCTAGTTCTGGGCTGGGCTGGCTGGGCTTGTCTACCACTCTTTTTTTCAAACAGTTTAAAGTTAGAAGATTTTATCTAACAACTCAGGCTCCAGATAGTGTGCCAGACATGAGGAGTGGCAGCCACAGAGACCTTCCCTTGAGGCAGCGGTCAGCAAAGTACCTCACTGAGTCAAGTCCTAAGTCCCTGTTGGCCCCAGCTACTCCCTCTCCAATATTCAAGGCCACCTATCCAGCTGTTGTTTTTACTAGTGAGGCCAACAGGGAGAGGCAGAGGCCTGACCGGTATAGCGGAAGGTCTTGGTGACAGGCTGTAACCACCTTCAGGAATGGAAGAGGCACCATTTAACAAATGCAACTGGCACTAGCAACTAAGCCCAAAAGGGGCTTTCCTGTCAGTCTCAGGCCTTTCCAGCCAACGTGGGAAGAGCGAGGGTGTGTGTCACCCTGTGTTTCTGTCACAGGACAGAACTGTGGGGACTCAGTGCTTCCTCGGCACTTCTGGAGTCCACTGTGGGACCTTTCTGCAGACTGTGAGAGAAAGCTCAGTGGCGCCTATATACCTGACCAAAGCACCAGAAACTGAGCTTCAAACACCTTATCTGATGATTTTTTTTTTTTTTTTTAAGAGCTCAGACCATGGTAAGTAAAAACTACCTCAGCACAAAGATGTGTAAGACAGTTACCTATCAGATGAAATCATTTACGAAAAGACTGACCGCCCCCGGGGAGACACACCCCTGTAACGGCTACGTGTTGGAGACAGCAGTGGAAATGCTGACAGCACTCGGTTCAGCCTTGGTCAACATTACTTCCTGGCTGAGAACCTTCCTGAGCATGACCTGTGTGTGTGTAAGGTGAACCCCATTGTGTTCCGAGACACAGAACTGTGTGTGCTCAGAGGCCCTGAGGCCAGAGCCCACAGAGAGGGATGCACTGAACTGTGTCATTGTTCCTTGGGATGGCAGCATTTGCTTTGCTTTGCTTTGCTTTGGTTTGGTTTGGTTTGGTTTGGTTTGGTTTGGTTTTTTTTTTCAAACCAAACCAAATATAGGGTCTCTCTATATAACCTACCCTGTCTGTCCTGGAACTTGCTTTGTAGACCAGGCTGGCCTGAACTCACAGAGATCTGCCTGCCTCTGTCTCCCATGTGCTGGAATTAAAGGCGTGCTCCACCATGCCAGGCTTGGTATGGTGGCATTTTAAGTTGAAATGTTAGGCCAAAGATAAAGATGAGTGGTGGACCTAGAAGAAAAGGTTCTAGAAAACAGTACAAGCCTTGCCTTTGCTTCTGCAGCCTGAAAAGGTACTGCAAAACCCTGGCTCCGGCCTTCAAGATAAGCCCTTCAAAAGTAACAACGTGTCTTGTCCGACAGGTCATGAGCTCAATCTTGGGAACTTGAACAATTAGAACAATTAGACATGGGGTAACCAAAAAAATGGGCAGTATATCTTGGTAACTGTGACTCCTGAAGGTCAGAATGTCCCTTTCTGTTAAACATCTTTGCAACTGCAGATAGCTGTTTCAGCTGTATCAAAAACTAAGGCATTTTCCCTCACACGTGCAATACAGAAGTGTCCCCATGTTCAAAGGACTCAGCTTCATTTTAACATTGAGCTGGCGAGTTTTATGTCAACTCGACACAAGATGGAGTCACTTGGGAAGGGGAAGAACCTCAACTGAAAGAGCCCCACCAGACTGGACTGTGGGCGAGCCAGTGCATTTTCCTGATCGACTGATGTGGGCGGCCCTCCCTCCCACTTACTGCAGGCATTCAGTTCAATCCCTGGGCTGGAGGTCGAAGGGGATGTAACTAAGCAGGCTGAGCAAGCCAGGAAGCAGCATTCCTCCAAGGCTTCTGCTTCAGTCCCTGCCTCTGGGTTCCTGACCAGACTTCCGTTAGTGAATGGGTGCAACCTTGAGACTTCCAAGCCACAACAAACCCTTTCCTTCCTGAGTTGCTTTTAGTTGTTGCATTTTATCACATCAATAGGTGAATTAGAGGTCTCTGTCAAGTCTTTCTAGAAGGTCCGTGCCTTCCTGGACTGAGATTTGTCTGATCCAGTTCAATCCTAGTGGTCTAGCTCCTGCTCCTCTCTCTAAGCCAAGGATCCTTTCAGCCTCCACAAGCCATGATCCCGAGCCTCACCCTACTGAACCTGGAGGAATACAACAGGAACCTACAGCAATAGGCTCCTGGTATGGGGGAAAAAAAAAAAAAGGGCACACACAAAAATTGCCTTTTTTTTTTTTGAGGGTTGGGAAGAGTCTCAGGCTACTCTCAAACCGTTATGAACCTGAGATAAACCTGAACTCCTGATCCTCAGGCCTCTGCTTTCCAAAGAATCACGTTATAAAAGGGTGCTAGTGTAGGAATCACATCCCAGGAGAGTGTACCATGCCCAGCTAAGAGTTTACCTTCTTGATTTGGAAATTACTTGCATGGCAAGAACTAAACTTAGCATTGGCTCAGACTTCTTGGTCTACACCAATGGCTCCAGGGAAAAGGCTAACATCACAGCATACAGAGAACATTCAGGATGGTTAAACCAAGCCATCAGGAAAGCGGTCCTCTAGCTACGAGATATCTTTCTACCCAAGTGGGAATGTTTGATGGTGTTTTTCCCCCCTTGGAACCAGAAACCAACTTTCTCGTCTGAGAGTTAAACTACTTGGAGGCCATGGCCCCTACACAGACATATCTGTACCCCTCCAGACCAACCCCACACAGTACCATGGTGATGCCGAGGCTCCAGACATCAGACTTGACATTGTAGCCCTTCTGATTCAGCTCTGGGTTGATCCTCTCAGGCTGCAAGAGACAAAGGGGCTTGAACACCCAAGCCAGCCAAGGCTCCCTCAATTAGGAAAAAGCATTATGTTCCCCTATCCACATGATATAGGCCAGCAAAAGCCAGAACCCATCCCTGCCTTCCTAACAAGTTCACCCAAACAGGGATCATGGAGTGCAGGTAAACGATGGAAGGGTCCCTAAGACTGGAGGCACAGCTGGAAAAATCCAGCCCACTGCACAGAGGCAAAATCCTGTCCTGTCCTCTACCTAGCCGGGACACCCACACTCACAGCCATGTAAGGCTTGCAGCCAGCATCCATTGTCTTTGCCACGGAGTCCACCAGGTAGCCACTGATGCCGAAGTCGCACATCTTCACGTGCCCCTCCTTGTTGATGAGGACATTGGACGGCTTCACATCTACAGGTAGAGAGTACCTTTTCTCAGCCTGTGCCAAGTGGGATTGCTCCTCCTCCAGTGCTCTGGGGTGGCCAGCAGCAGACTAGCCAAGACCCCCAAGGACTGGACAGGGAAGTAGAGATGAGCCGCGAGAGGTGCAGGACCAAGCCCCATCACACCACACGGCTGGGAGACAAAGCAAAATGTACTTCAGCCTGTCCCTACCAAAGAGAAACCCTCCAAGAGCTCCATGCACAATGCCCATGCTAGCCATGCATGCTACCTACTGTGGACACAATCTGGCAAGCAGGGTGAGCAGGAGGCGTTCGGGGGCAGGGGGTCCGTACATGCAAATGAGAAGCCCCAGCCCCTGCCTCACAGGAGGTAGGAACCTCCTAGCAGAGGTCCATGCATGTGTGTAAAAGACAAGGCTGCACTGAAAAGGACAGGAAGGTTCCATGCCAAAAGGCCAGGAATGTTGAGCTAAGGACAGAATGGATGGGCACTAAGCATCAAGGCCTGCTTAGCCTCCTTCGTTTTCTAAGTGCAACCAAGTTAGTGGGAGGCCAAGACTTAGTAAGTACCACCCCGGAGGGGGAAGTCCAGACTCGTGGCCACAAAGGCAGAAGAATCCCAGAAAAGCTCAGGATGGTTATGTGCGGGGTAAGGGAGCTGGTGTCGGATTCCTAGCATGACATGCCACAGCCTAGGGGTTTCACAGCACATGAAGTGCCCAGGAAAAGCGGGCAATGGAGCCCAGGAAAAAAAGCAGGGATCCAGTTAGTTCCCCCTCTTCAGAGCACAGCAGACCCAAAGGCACAGATGCAGACAGTGACCCGTGCCCCACCAGGTGTGTCGCAGTCTGTCCCCCCACCACCACCCCCAGTGGATGGTGGAGGACACTGACCTCTGTGGATCACAGACAGCTTGCTGTGCAGGTGCTCCAGGGCCCGCACGATCTGAATGGAAGGCGGGAGAGGCAGGGCTGCTGTTATTCCGGGTGACAGCAAGGAGAGCCAAGCAGTAAAGCCCACGCCCTCTAAACACACCCCAGCCCCACCCCTCAGATCTGCCCATCATCCTGGCAGTCTTGCAACAGACTTGTCAGCTTCCTGCCTTCCTCCTACTCCACAAATCCCAAGCAGTGCCTCCCAAGGACCGTCACCAAGACCTACCAGCCCCCTCCCTCCACACATTTCTCTTGCTTCCCCCCCTCCCCGTGAAACCACCCCTGGAGACTAGACAAGAGAGAAGCCTGAGGCATGGGATGGTTTAAAGGGCATCCTTGGTTGCACTGCCCCCAACCCCCTTCCGTTGGCTATGGCAATGACCCGCCCAGAGTTGCTCCCCTCTTCTAGAAACAGCAGACTCAGAAAGCAAACATTTCCCCTACTGTCGTGAGGTGTCTGAGTATGAGGCAGTGGAAAGTACAAAGCTCCTTTCTTCAAAGGAATGGGAAGCTGAAGGCGCCCACCCACGGGCTTGGAGGCATGGAGTGGCCCAGCCTGAGGAGCCTCAGCCCTGGGGCCTCTTCTGTAAGGCACTGCTTTCAGGCTTCAGATGTACTGAGCCTTTGGGGAGGACGACAGCTGCTCTGCCGAGACTCGGTCACTGTGCACACTGGGCAGAGCCAGGCCACTCACAGACACAGCGATCTCGCCCAGGATGTCCTCCGGAATTGTCATGTTCTTCTCCAGCACCTTCCGGTAGAATTTGTCCAGGGACATGTCCATGAGCTCCATGCAGATCCACACATCCCCCTGAGAGAACACTCAATGCTTAGCTGGTTCACCAGTGCTGCCCAGCCTGGACAGCCTGCAGGCTGCCGGGGGCCTCCGCAGCCCCGATCCTAAAAGCTGTACTCTACAGTGCCTCCCCCTTGGGGCCTCACCCGGCCTGCCCGCCCAGGGGCTAGCAGAAAACAATTGGCCACAACTACAAATCTCAGCTGCCGCTGAGCACCGGGCCCCTGACGGCACCTGCTTCATCTTCAGACAAGGAATCTGAGGCACAGAGTTTGGCCAGGGACAGGGAAACCTGGCTCCCAAGCCTGCCTCTCAAGACCCCAACGGAGCTATCTCAGATGGCAGGAAGCTCAGTGTAGCTCACCCGGTATCTAAAGTCCCGGCAACTGCACACAACAGAGCTGGGGTGGCAGGGGTGGTTGGCAAGAGGTGGGTGGAGACAGGGCCTACCTCTCTGAAGAGGGCGCCGTAGAAGGTGACGGTGTAAAAGCAGTCAACCGTGCGCATGTTGATGTCAAGGTCCATAAGCAGGCGTTTCTGCTCCTGTGAGTTCACAGTGGCCCGGATACGCTGCAAGAGAGCAGCATGTCTAGGCCGCCTCCCTTACCCAGTCCATGAGGGCCAGGAACCTTGGAGAATCCGTGGCATGGCCTGGCCTGGCCTTGTCTGAGAAGTCCTGCCTCGGTACTGGTGACAACGGTGCGGGACAGCGCCACAGGGTAGACAGCCAACCTGCAGCTCAGCCCACGCTTCCTCAAGAGCTACTCCAGGCAGGGTAAAGCCCGCTTACCTTTACGGCCATGATGGTGCCGCTCTGAGCGTGCCGCACCTTCTCCACCACCCCGTAGGCTCCACGGCCCAGCTCTGAGATGGTCACCAAGTCATCAGCCTCCACCTCAAAGTTCTGAAGAGGGCAGAAAGGAGAGGCAATTAGTGATCACCAAGCCGCAGACTGGCTCTTGTCCCTCACCCAGAAAGAAGAGCGGAGGTCAAGCAAGTTAGAGTGGAGCCCGAAGCTTCTATCCACCATGCTGTGTGACTCTGTGGAAATCACTCAGCCAACCTGAGCCTGCCACTGATCTCTGTAACTTCTCCCAAGGACTTTGGGAGAAGTCCTTCCCTCTTTCACACGCATCTCAGCAGAGAGAGACATTAGTCAATCATGTACTGAACACCTATGGGAGTTCCCTCCCCTGAATGGAATACATGGGATTGTACAACCAGACTAACAAGGACACCAGGCAGTGACAGGGGTTGGGGAGGCAGGATCTGCCAAGAAGAAGCTCCCAGCATGCTTTGCCCTGGTGTACATCTTCAGGTCGGGCTTCTCAATGGCAAGTGGTCTCCCAAGGCACTCAGAGGTATGTGTAATATAGAGTCTAGGGTCTGGCCTGAGGCCTGTGGGCCCAGGAGCCTGCAAGTCCCACACTGTTTCCAGGCGATACAAAAGTGGGATTCATCGCCCTCACACTGAGGTAGGCAGTGGGGCGGCTCCGGGCTCCTCACAGCCCTATAAGACAAGTGGAATAGATTTCTTTCAGATAGGAGGTCTAAGGGCAGGTGGTCTAGGATCACAACCAGCAAGATAAGAAACGAGCTCGTCCCCTGAGCCCAGCCTTGCCTACCACCCATAGCCACCTCTCAATGGTCCTACGGGATGAAGTGGAAGGCCTCCCCCCAATGTCCAGTCACCACCTACTCTGTCTCCGATAGTGATGAAGGTCCGGGAGTCCAGGTTCCGGGGAGGTCTGTGGAGACATCAAATCTATAAGCTTCTCTGGGAGAAGGCACAACAGGGGGTACGAGGGTGACGTGTGTACTGGCCACAGGGGAAGCTTACACAGCCACCTCAGTTCATTGATTATTGGGAATCTACTAGGTATAAGTGTAATGATGTTGCCAGGCACAAGGACTGGGGCACAGAGCAAACAGCCACTGCTCCTAAGTCTCCTCTGGGGCTGCCCAGGACGGGATGAGAAGAGACAGCTCTCTCACTCACCTCTGACCCCCACATCCCTGCCTCTTACTCATACTCCTGGCCTCCTTCAGGAGGACTCTCCAAGTCTGAACAGCATGAGAAACTTAAGGCAGACTCACGTGGGGTTGGGCACGGGTGGCTTGGTTATGCAGGTTATCCGTAAATCCTTTTTCCTTTTGGATTTTCCTTTAGTGGAGAGAAGACAGGGATCTTGTCAACTCTTAGTCCTGGGCTGGGCAAAGATGGGGACAGAGGTGACTCAGGCCCCTGATCCTCACTACCCCCCCCCAACATAGGAGCCCAAGAGTCGGTGCGACCAGTGCCAAGAGGAGCCTTGGGGCTTTGAGGAATGCCAAGCATGGTCCCACTCAGACTGGGGGCCAGGTTCAAGCTTCCTTCTCTCCCACGAAGGCAAAGCCAAGCCCCACCCTCCTGAGAGCGGCCCCGCAGCTGGGAGGCACCATACAGCTGTGCCTATGGGACACACACACTCAAATGCCCAGCTTTGTGTGAGTTTCCAAGCTTCTTACCACCAGGAATGGAATGCAGTCTGCCCAGTACCAGTGCTCCCAAACACACGAAAGCCGGTGCCCTACAGCTCTGTTATGGGCTGAGCTGTGTCTTTCAAAACGTATATATGGCGAAGTCTTGACCCCCGGTACCCAAGAATGTGACCTTATTTGGAGAATATTTAATGAAATCAAAATCAAATCGATAGGGTTGGCCCTAATCCAGTGTGACAGGACTGTTTGCATGTGCGCATGTGTCTGCACATATGCATGGGTGGGGTGGATCCCAGAGCTTTATGACTGCCAGGTAAGTGTTCACCCAGCACAACTGGCATCCTTTTAACAGAGAAAATCAGGGGACACAAAAGGAAGACAAATGAGGCCCGGGAGTTGCCACCTCTAAACCAAAGAGAGGCTTGAAAGAAAGCAAAGGAGAGTTTTCCTCCTGCCCACCCTCCTCCCAGATTAGAAGCTGCTTGCTCTGTGGCCATGGGACTTCATGTGACAGCAGCCCTTGACACACCGTGTCCTTCTTCCACTAGGGTTGGCTTGGTGCGGGAGTGCCTGAGACTGGGCTCCACTCAGGTCCCCACTCAGTTTCCGCCGTGGTCACACCAGAATACGGACACCCACTGGGACAACGGGAGCCTGGCCTGGTTCACAACCTACATGGGCTGCCCAGGGGCCACGTGGCTCGGTGCCCACCACCGGCAGTGAGCACTGACTCCCTCAGTCTCGGCTTCTCCAGACAGCAGGGGCACTGACTCCCACGAGGGGAGAAAACTCCAGGGAAAAGCAGGATGAGGGAGTATCATGCAACAAGGCTCCTCAATGTCCCACAGGACCAAAAAGCACTGACCAAAGGCTCACCTTCCCGAGAGGCTCTCGCTGCTTCGTGCAAACCACCACCAGCTCGCTCTGGCCACCTAGTCCTACAGTCGGGAACTGCCCACCAGACCTGCACACCAGCTGCCCGGGAAACCTCAGTCCCCAAAGCATGTCTGAACCAGGTTCTGGCAGATCCAGCCGTAGCCACACACAATACAGAATTGGGCATGTGACTCAGGCAGGCCTGTGTATTCAGGCCAACCCAGAGTGGCTTCCAAAAGTACTGACCAGAAGACCAACGTAGGCAGCTGGGCTCACTGCAGACCCCTTTGGTGGGGGGGGGGGGTCTCCCAGTGCTGGGGGACAGGCCCTGGGTCTCATGAGGCCCAGCCCTGACAAACCTACCTAAGTAGAGCACCCACATCACCTCTGCTTTCTGCTCCCGTGTCTCTTGCAGTAGATTGGGAGGTGATATAAGATGTGCCCTCTCCCAGGCCTCAATTGTCCCATCTGGCAAGGTCATGCCCACACCTTCAGTCAGGTATGGTGGTGATGTTCTCTTATCATCCCAGGCTGGGAAGCACACAGGCAACGAGCCTAAAGAGCCACCAGCCTATGTTAGGAATGACCCGAGCTGCTGGGGCAGCTATGCCAGCTGTCAGAGGGAATGGGCAAGGCCACCGTAGAGACAGCCCAGAAACAGGCCTCAAGCCACCAACTACTCCTGGCACTATCTAATGCCAATGTCAGGGCTGGGCCCAGATGGTCAGGCAGCCTGGGGCTACCCAGGTGTGGCCCAAGGTGGCGACTGTCACCACAACAAACAAGAGGCTCTTGGCCACCGTGAGCAAACCACAAGCCTGCCAGGGTCGCAGAGGCCTTTGTGCAGGCCAGCCCAGTTCTCGGCATCTAAATAGCTCGCTCCAGCCTCATGGCAGCTCCTCAGGCAAGGAGCAGGGAGACTGAGGCCGAGAGGGATTCAACTGCTAACCTGAGGCCCCATCACTGACAACAAAGTACCTACAGACGAGGGTGACATTCTGGTCCAATTTCCCACATGCGCCTCTGTCCCCCTCACACCCTGTTTTCTACCTAATTCTCTCTCTCTCTCCTTCAGCCTCATCCAGGCTGACACCTGAGGGATGCAACTTAGTCCCCTTGTGGTACCTGAATCCTCCTGGCCTCTTACATCACTTCTCACAGCTACGTTCCCAGACAGGCCACGCTGGATCCTAGTGGCTGGGGTTCAACTGTCACCCTGCCACTTCACTGCTGCGCACTCTTAGGCAAGCGATTACGCCTCTCTGGGCACGGGGGCCTGGGTGTGATGTGGAGAGGAATGGCAGACTTCCCACAGCCCAGCAGCAGTACCCAGCAGAGGATCAGGGGAGCTGCCGGAGGCCACCCACCACCCACTTCTCAGCAGCTCCATGAGGAAAAGTTTTTCACTGATCCACTGTGCAAGTTGGTCAAAGAGGAGAGAAAGCTTGACAAAGAGCATTGTGGGCATCTTGTGGAATAAGGATATGACCCTGAACAGGCTGGCCTGCTCTAACACCCAACCATCAGCAGGGATAGCCGAGAGCAGGCCACTGGGACAGTGCACCAGAAGATAGTAAGTCCCATCCCATGATTTTCAATGACTAAAATGACATTAATGCCTTGTTGACTTTCCCTACCCCTACACCAGTGCTTCCTCTGGCTCCTGGGCCTGGGAAACCAAACTGGAAGCTAACACTGCCACTTATGTATCAGAAACAAGATGTCCCATCTTCAGCTTCCCACTCAGGAAACCATCTACATGCAGCAGTCTTTCAGAGAACATACATTTGTTCAGAGAACATACATTCATATGCTCATAAATGAACAGGGTAAACTGATGTCCAAAGAGAAGGGCAGGGTTTTTTGATGAGCAGCTTCCCCTTGGTAGCTAAAAGGTGCCACCTTCAAGTGCCTGGACATCAGCTAAGCACTTGATACAAGATGGGGCAGCCACAGGATGACTGAGCCAGGACCTCTGGGCATGGCAGCAAGGCCAAGCACAGATGGAAACAGAAAGAGGCTGTGGCTGCGGAGAGCAGAGCCTCCACCAATTCCAGGGTCCAGTACTGGCCTCACAGATGGACCTGAGCAAGAGTCCTTCTCCTCTGAATAGACCTCACTAAGTGTGACCCTTCATCCTGATGGCTGTCAAAATGCCCATTTGCCGTCAGCTAAAAAGTATTCCTCTGAGAGCCCACCCATTCCCACTCCCGTGGCAACTCACTGCCATTATCACATACCACAGCAAAGTATTGGCCACTACCTACTTCTTAACTATGCCCAGACACTAATGCTAGTATCCAGGGCCCTTGCAGCCCTGTTCCCCAAGAAGCCTGGCCTGTCACCGCACGCTCGCTAACTTAAAATAACCTTCTGAACTTGATGACATCTGCAGTGGTGCAGGGGACCAATACCAAGGCTGTTCATGTAGCCACACAGGTGGGTACCGCATAAGTTGGGGCACCCCAGAAAAACACTCACCCACATCGACTAAACCAGCACCTCCATCAGCCAGCACACGGAACTTCCCTTCCACTGAGGTCCTAGTACAAATGAAGCCAAAGCCAAGAGTGAAGAGGAACAATGGTCCTAGTCAGCTGACTCCAGCTTCTTCCTGTTCTCATCCCATGGCTGCCCCGTAGGCCACGGTGTGGAGCGGCCTGCACCTCCATAGGACAAAGGGCTAAACACACCTGGTGCACACCAAAGCTCCATGTTATTTACTTCTGTATTTTGAGACAGTCTCATGGAAGAACTCACTGTATGCTACACAGCTGAGGATGACACTGAATGTATCTTTTTGAGTCAAGGTCCTACTCTGGCTTCTGACTCCTGAGATTACAGGCATAGCCCACCATGCCTAGCTGCAGCACCGAGCTTCTGATCTCTTGCCTCCTCCAACTGAACACTAGTAAGCATAACCTTAAAAACAACAAAGGGGCTGGGGATATATTGTAACTGGTGGACTGTTTACCTCACACGCATGAGGCCCTGAATTGAACCCCAGAGACCCTGAGTTTGATCCTCAGCACCACATAAAACCAGGAATGGTGGGACACATTTCTAATTAAGTCTCAAGAAAGAAAGGAAGAAAGAAAGAGAAAGAGAGAAAGAGAGAGAGAGAGAAAAAGAAGGAAAGAAAGAAGGAGGGAGGGAGGGAGAGAGGGAGGGAGGGAGGGAGGGAGGAAAGAAAGAAAGAAAGAAAGAAAGAAAGAAAGAAAGAAAGAAAGAAAGAAAGAGAAAGGAAGAAAGAAAGAAAGAAAGAAAGAAAGAAAGAAAGAAAGAAAGAAAGAAAGAAAGAGCGAGCTGGGGAGAGGGAGAGCAAAGGGGAAGGGAGAAAGAGGTAGGGAAGGGAAAAGCAGGAGATAACAGAGCAGGCTTCACCATGGGCCCCTACGTGGAAGGAGGGTCCAGTTGAGCTGTTCATGGCTGGGGACTAGCTGTGGGTGCTGCTGGACACAGCATCCCTGAGAATCCAGAGCAGCTCTGGAACTCCAGCTCAGCCAAGGCACTACCATAACCCAGCAGGCAGGGAGAAGGGTAGAACTTGGAAGCTGCTGGCCCTCCCAAGTATGCTAGGCTTGTTGTCTATGTGCCCTAGTAAGGTAGGGCAAGCTGCCACCGTCTCTGCTCTTTACATGAAATGTATCTGCAAGGGCTGCTGGGCACACAGACCTGGCAGATACGGGCAACACGGCTAAACAACCAAGGGAAGGCGTGAGAGAATTCAAATGAGTACTGCTGCCCACTCACTCCCCAGGCTAGCACCAAGTCTGACATGGATGAAATTCTACCACCTGAGAAACCAGCCCAGAAACGCCCATGAGGCCAGTTCCATACCTCCCAAGCATCCCTCACTTACGCTTTCAATGCCACTGGACAACAAAGCTGAGTGACAGGGACAGATATGCAGAAAGAGCCAGCCATCTCAGTTCTGTGCTCTCTTCTTGATGCCCTCAGGAAGCCCAGGAAGTAATGGCAGCCTACAGCAGCAGCGTAGGAAGCAGAGGAGAAAGAGCTCCTAGAGCAGGGACTCTCAACCTGTGGGTCGTGACCCCTCGGAGGGTCAAATGACCCTTTCACAGGGGTCACCTAAGACCATTGGAAAACACAGGTATTTACGTTACAGTTCATAACAGTACCAAGATTACAGGTATGAAGTAGCGACAAAAATAATTTCATGGTTGGGGGTCACCACCACAGGAGGACCTGACTTAAAGGGCCGCAGCATTAGGAAGGTTCAGAATCACTGGCCTAGAGCCTAGCAAGCTCTGGCTCCCTGAGGAGTCTTGTGTCACGGATCCTATGAGTATATCATCAGAGGTATTTATTCCCCCCCACACCATGAAAAGCAGCCACAATCCCAACAATTAAATAATAACAGATGCCATTTGTTTGGGAAACGCTATCTCCCATCTTTACTACCCCCCTGCAGGGGAGAAGCGCTTCCTCCCACTGCAAGGAAGAAGACTGAGAGTCAAAGAGGACATGCCATTTGCCCGGGTGAGGAAGTCATGGAGTCAGGACTGGATCCTTGGCCCGTAGCTGCAACCACCAGAACCTGACATCTGTATCCATCCAGGCAGGGCTCCCATGCTCGTTTTGCTGGGAGAAAACAAAACAAAACAATCCTTCTTCTCTGAAAGATGCCCCACACCTATACATATAAAGTATCCAGAATGCACCAGGTGCAATTTGTTCAATGTTACGTTTGCAAAATGGGCAGAGTGAGGCTCTGACTCCAGGCAGATCAACCCGGCTGACCTGCAAGGCCACTACTCCTGGCTTTCCCCAGGCTTTGTTCCCTAGGCCAGGGGCAGTCAACAGCAGCTGCCACCTACTCTTATGTGGTGAGCAAGAGGAAGCAAGAGTCGTTTACCTAACACAGGAAGTTCCTGGATGGGACAGGAGGACCTGCCCAGAATCTCAGTTCAACCCAAGGTCCAGAACTGACCATCTGTAGTTGTCCAGCTCAGGACCAGGGGCAGCCTACACGGCGAGGTATGTAACCCCCTAATGCTGCCTGCCAGGCATTGCCCCTTTAAGCTATAGGCAGTGACTGGCATGCCTGTGGTGAGTCAGCATCCAGTGCCTGCTGACTCACCCACCGGAAGCCTGGCTGCCTCTCCCCACACAGGCCGACTGGGAACTTTACTGCCTTCAGGCCCTGAGCCACAGGCTGGCTGATAGAGAGTTTCCTGTGCGTCACACCAGGACTGGGGGAAGTCCCCAAGGTGCCACCCTCTCTAGTCTCTCCAACTCCCAGGACAGGAGGAAAGCTATAACAATGGCAGACAGGGCCAAGACAAGACATTCAGTGCTCCTGTGGCCTCATTGGGCACCAGAGGCCCCAGCCACTGAGCTCCAATGATAACATCTCCAATAGAGTGTCAAAGGCCATCTCTGACAAAATGGACAGTGTTCCCAAGGACAAATAATGATGTGCACATCCAAATCACCCAGACCACCCTGACCACATCTGCTCCTGTGGCAGCTGCCCGTGGCCTCTGACCGCAGCCAGTGACCTGCTAATGAGCACGGAGACAGGAGAAGTCAACAAAGCTGTGAAACATACAAGCCTCACCCATGTGGGGAGAACGTCCCAGGCCTGGGCACAAAGGACAGGCTGCCAACTGTCCACTGGAAGTGCACAGATAAAGTTCCAGTCCCCACCAAAGGTCAGGTGCTACCGCTCCCTGCTCTGTCCAAAGTCCTCTGCAAACAGGCTGGCAGCATGGCTCGGCAGGGAAAAGCGGTTACGTCAAGCCTGATGTCCTAAGTTCCATGCCCGAAACCCACATGGTGGAAGGCCGATCCACGTGCCTGAAAAGGAGAGAACTGACTCCCACAAAGTATATTCTGACTTCCGGAGAGACCTCCATCCTCGCGCTAAGCTGCGGCATGCAGGCACCCGTATATACGAACATAAGTGTGATTTTTTTTTAATTGTTTTAAGTTTTCTGCAGAGGTGGTAAGGAGTTCCTGCCAGGGACCATACTGGTCTGGACTTGCCAAGGCCTCGACTTGTGTGCATCTGTTGCAGGGTCAAGGTAGGGGAAGCAACTGCCATAAAGACTGCAAGCAGATAGGTGGTCTTCTGCTGTAGCATGCCTCCAGGTCCATTGAGCCCGGGGGTGACGGCCAGGGGGCCAGGGTCCTACTGCTCACCTAAGCACCTCACAGAGGAATAGGCTGCAGGGAGCACCGGGGAGATCATTGATTATTCCTGCTATTGCCACACTCTGCCATCATAGCTGAAGGGCCTCTGTAAATGATTAGTGTCCCTGGGCCTCTGCTTACAGGCAAATGAGGCTGTGAAGAATAAACAAGACAATGTATAGCACATGGCAAAAACAAAACAAACAAACAACAGCAAAAAAACAAAACAAAACAAAAAACCTACTAGAGTTTTTGGTGAATGGATATTGTCACTCCCCCACCACAGCTATCTCCAGACCCCTAAAAGGTTACCAGGATCCTGGGCCCTGGGGAGGGTCTAACCTCCAGCCAACCCATCCAATTTCACGTTTCCTAACCTACAATCTGCAAACACACTGGCCCTCTCAGAAGAGAGGCCCAGCGTGTCCAGTGCCAGGCCACCAAGCATGTGAGGGCCAATCGTAACCCTACACAGAGCTTAGCAATGGCACCATGATCTCTCCCCCTGTAATCCCCAACGGCAACTTCTATTTCGATGAGGCTTCTCCTGCCTGGAAGAGCTTAAATGCCTCCACCACAAACACTGCTTCCAAGCCCTTCCTGAGTGGAGCAGCGTCTAATTTCCTGGTTCTCAAGTTCCACGAGGTCTGCACACTGCAAGTCCCTCTTCAGCCACCTCCCCCAGCAAGCGCCTCCCTAGTTACTCACAGAAGTTGGGCAATGGTCAGAGATCTGGCCTCCTACTTATGTAAGATGCAATTACCCTGCCCACTGGGCTCCTGCACAGCCACGGAAGCCAGCTGCAGGGGACTGAAAAGACCCCCTGCCTGCCCAGGACAGCCTACCCAAAACCAGAACTCCTGAGGTGGAGGTTTCCTGAGAAGGCCACTACTGCCCAAGCACCCTCTAAGTGCCTGTCCTCAGTGCTCTACAACTGCTGCAATCCAAAGCTGGGCCCTGACCCCACAGGGCTGAGCCTTTCCAACAGGAAAAGCTGGAAACTGTCATGGAAGGATGTGCAGCAACTAATTTTCCCCTGTGTGCCTACTATGTGCTGGGTGCTATGCGAGGTTCTTGATCATCCCACCCATGTTTGCTTCAAACCATTCTAAGTTCAATCTCACATCACAGCCCTGACACCCATTTCATTGATAAGGCTTAGACATATCCAAAAGACTGGCCAGCTGAGACAGTGGCCGGTTCAGAATGCACCGGGTCAATCCATTCACAGCTGTAGGTCCAGCTTGGAACTCCCTTTTCTGCAGCCCAACCTATTGAGTCCCTGACATGTCAAAAAGCATCCTTCTCTCTTCCTGGAAAATAAAACAAAATGGAACTCTGCCCTCCAATCTTGTCCCCCTCACTTCCCATGACAAATTCTGCTGCTGCCCACGCAGCCCCACTGCCACCTCACAGAAATTTCCAGGAAAGACAGTTACTTGAAAAAGACAAGTCCAAGCCTTGTACAATCAGCCCCTGGCCCAGCAGCTAGCCCAGGTACCAAACAGCAGGTCTGAGCAGCAGGCCAAGAAACTACTAGGTGCAGGAAAAGGCCAGCTCCTAAAATGCAGTGAGAAGTTGCAACTGAGTCAAGGAGCAGCAGGTAGAATGGGCTGAGCTGCGAAGGGGAGACGCCAGGAAGTCCTACAGATACAGCCCCAGGGAGGAGTACTGGCGGCCAGTGTGCAGGCCAGCAAGACGTAGGGCAAAGGAGAAATTACAAGGATGGAAGGAGTTGGAAGAGAGTTCTGAATCCAGAGTAGGCAGGTTTCCGGCCTTGGGAACACAGCCCTAGGGGCCCAGAAGAGAATACATTCCAGCCTGGATCAATCCAGGAGCCTAGCCTGAGGGGGCTGGTGCAGCCGAAAGACCCTCTAAGCAGGGATCACTGAAATCCCTACCGAGCCTAGGATGCAGCTCGGATGCCTAAACGAAGAGCTCACGGTTTGGCACCAGACTGGGAGTCGGGTAAGGAGAACAAGGTCCTGCCCGGTGAAGTCCCACAACCTAAGATCCGGATTCCAGTGAGGTCCCGTGAGGTCCCGGGCTTGAGCTGGACCCAGTCCTGGGCTGAATGCCTGCTCCCGGCCCGGAAGGGAGTCCAGGGTCACGGGCTGGCTCGAACCGAATGTGGCTCGGGCCGCGCGGTCGGACGGGAGTGCCTACCTTTGGTCTGGGGCAAGGTGGCCGGCCGGCTCGCGGCGGGAGACTCCATGCTGCGGACGGTGGCGGCGGGGAGCGCTAATCTAGAGGACAGCAGGCTACACCGGGGCCGGGCGCGCTCATGGCTGCTGGCGGCGGGCGGCGGGCGGAGAGGCGGCGGGAGCTGGCGTCCGGGGCGGGCGGCGCCACAGCCACTCTGGGCAGCGCCGGGCGCCTGCCGACGGCGCCACGCAAGCCCCGCCCGGCGCACCGATTGGCCCGCCCGAAAAAGGCCCCTGCCTATCCGACGCCGGCCGGGCTGTCGCGCACAAGCGCCACCCTCCGGGAGCCGGAACCCAACCTGCCGCACCGTCGCTCAGCCCCGCTCGGGCTCCCTCGCCTGTCAAGAGGACAGCCCTACCCACTCGCTGGACTGTCTCGGCGTGGTCCTGGGTCCCCCGGCCTGTGCCCCCCGCCCCCGACGGCTCGCGACCTGGAAAGTGCAAAGTGCCAAGATCCTTAGGGTGGCCAGGCGACGCCGATGCGCCCGGTGGGATTCGAAGCGCTCCCTGAGCGAGACCGGACCCCTAAATGGCTGAGCGAGCTTCCATGGGCTCCCCCCACCCCCCCGGAGAGAGCGGCGACCTCGGGCTTCCCCTACAGGGGCAGCAGGGAGAGCGCGATCCCGCGGCGGGCGCGCGCCAGGTGAGTGCTGACCGACTGTGGGGAAGAGTTTGTGCCGTGCCTTACTGAGCGAGACTGTGCGGCGGAGGCAGCGACGAGCGAGCGCCTGGCACGCTGGCACCTGGGGAGCGCGGAAGTTCCGAGGCTAACCTGCTGCTGCCTAGTAACGATGTTCCTATTTCGGTTGTAACATTGTAGCTGCTCTGCTCCGGGACCTGGACGTAGTCTCCCACAATAAGCTGCCACTCCAAACGCTGAAATACCTTTGGTCAGCTTTGACTGCGGTTCCATCTCGCCCGTCGGTCCTCACACTAACCCGGAGTCTCTGGGATCGGATGGAGAACCAGGTCTAGTGAGAACAGGAGGCACAAGGTCAGGGAGTCAGTCGGAGCTCGAGTGAGCCTTAGCTCGCTGGCCAACACCTAGGCCACCAATGCCTCTCGGTTTCTGTCGCAGCCCGTCCGTGCCACCCGTCCCTCCCCATTTGGAACCCTGCGTGTCTCATGCCCTGCTGTCTCCCAAGGCTTAGCCCAGAGCCACACACATAGTAGGTGCCTAAGAACTATTCGAGGAATGAACAAAAGGAAGTAGGAAAAGCATGCCACAGACATGGGTAAAGTGACTCTAGTCCCGTGCCAGCCTCCCAGGCCCCAGGGTGACTCAAACAGGAGGAGTTTGATGGGTTAGTCAGAGAACTTGACAAACTGCCCAGGAATTACAAACTCCGTGCCGGCTGCTACGGTGCTATAAATAGATGCGAGAGTCCTAAGGAGAAGCCCTACCTCACCTGGGTGGGGTCAGGGAAGGTGACCTTCGTAGACTAGTAGCCAGGAAAAGAAATACGAGTCCACCCATCCTTGGACGAAACAGAGAGGCAGCCCAGGGAGAGGAGAGCTTCTCAGGAAGCCAGGCTAGGCTGCACCACCAAACCAGTCAGCCGCTGGAGTGAGGGACAGGATGGAAGGCCACCCCTCCTGCCTCTAAGTGGGAGTACCCCTAAGAACCAGCAAGAGCATTAAGCGCAGCTTCTAACAGGCTGCCTTTCCCTCTGACTCCCAGGAGAGCAGGCCCCTCTGTAAACTAAGGGAAACACAGGCTTGCTGTGAGTCAGCCTGGGTTAGCCTGGGTTAGCTTGTGGTTGTGAGCTGAAGTAGGCAGGACATGTGGTGATAGAGAGATGCAGAAACAGGGTGGCTCAAACCCAGCGGAGGGAGGAGGGCAACTCATTCATCGAACACGGACTGTGTGCCTAGCACTATGGGAATCGACATTAAACAGATACAACTCTCTGCCCTCGGGAAGGAACGGACTTCTGGCCTAAGTTAAACGATGGGATGTCTCAGGTTGGCAAACGCTGCCAGGAAATGTAGAAGACAGTGTGTGGTTTTAATTAAGGCGATCAGGAAAAGCCTCCCTAGAGGTGGCACAGAAGCAGAGACTTGAAGAGGCAAGAGAAAGGGGTAAGCATTTCCAACAGAGGGACTAGTAGTGCAAAAGGCCCAAGCTGTGTGGCTGGGGTGGTCAGAGGTGAGAGGCTCCCTTCTCCCTTAGATGCTGTTCCTGTCTCCTCCCCAGGCGCTGCCCGTATGCCCTAACATGCGTACCCGTGAGATGCACCAGGGCTCGTATGCACGTACCATGGCTGCACAGGTGTAGGCCTGTTGACAGGCAGAGCGGTCATGCGCAGCTCTGTTTGTGTGTGCAGTGCCCTGCCGTCCGCAGGACCTCCAGGGCTGGCTGACCTGGGGTGGGTGCCTTCTGTGATCAGACCTAGTCTGGCTGTGCTTTGTGGGTGCCCGGCTCAAGAGAAACCACCCTCCGTGCTTTGCCTGCTAGCCAGCTTTCCCACCCCTGTGTTAGTTGCTGCAGACCTTCCACAATGCTGCAGAGAGAGCTTTCTAAAACAGGGCTGGCCAAGCTCAAACCCTTCCTGGTTCCTACATAGAGAAGGTCCAACACTCTGTCCCTGTTGACATCTCCAGGCACTTCAAAACCATGCTCATCCTCCTCTTCTTGGTTTTTCGAGACAAGGTTTCTCTGTGTGGCCTTGGCTGTCCTGGACCAGGCTGGCCTCGAACTCACAACGATCCGCCTGCCTCTGCCTCCCTGAGTGCTGAGATTAAAGGTTCCACCACACCCAGCTCCATACTTTTCTCTTGATCCTGCCTTTGCAAAAGCTGTTGCCTCAGCCAGTAACGCCCCTCCCTGCCATCGTCTGATGTATGCTAGATACGTTTTCTTTTTCACCTGCTGTATTTAAGTGGCCACCATTTTGAAATAGTGAGTCATGGTTCATCCACGTGATGTGACGTTACCTGAACAACAGCAAGCTCTTTTCACAGCCCAGCTGGGTGCCCCTCTCTCATGCAGACTCCCGATGAGGCAAGCTGTAGGAGGCAGCCCCATACATGGCTGCTGGCCTCCACAGTACACAGTGGACCCTCACGGAACACTTGGTGCACGCACCGTCTAAGAAAGTGTGCACATTCACGGACACGGAGCAGAACAGAAAGCAGGGGATTGCCAGGCAGTGGTGGTGTACCCCTTTAATCTCTGCATTCAGGAGGCAGAGGCAGGCAGATCTCCATGTGTTCAAGGCTAGCCTGGTCTGCAGAGCTAGTTCCAGAACAGCTATAGGGCTATACAAAGAAAGCATCCCTTGAAAAACCAGAAAGAGAGAAAGCGAGCGAGCAAGCAAGCAAAGGATGGAGTCCTACACACACACACAAGACCATGGCATGCCAGGTGGCAGGGCTACTGCTCAAACTCCAGTCTGGCAGATCATGACCCTTTCACCTGCCTTTTGCCCCCTTGCTCTCATAAAATGCTTTTACAGTGGTCTTCTGAACCACACAGGTTTCTCTGCGTTCTTCCGTCCAGGGTTGTGTGGCGCCTTCTGGCCACAGCAGGGAAGAGTTCCGGGCTGGAGGGTGTTCACTGTGGCCCTTCCTTCCTAGGACACAGAACACAAGCCTTTATTGTAACTTGTTGCTTGCCAGACCTCATAGGTTCACAGTTGGAAACTCCTTGGTGAGGCTGGCACAGTTGGAAACTCCTCCTCTAAACGAGGAAACGAAGACCTGAGCATCTTGCCCGGGTCTCACAGCCGGGAGGGAGGAGGCCAGATCCTAACCCAAATGATGGAGGATGGCTCGCAGTATCGCGTAAGAGCTTCTTAGCCAGAGTGCTTGTCCTGTGGTCTGGAATCCGGGATTACAGCGATGTTCTCATTGCCGTGATTTGGTGAGAAGCATCACAAACAGAGACCAGCAACTTGCCCCCGGTCACACAGCCAAATAGAGAGAGGCAGAAGCACATTAGCATTGCGTCATCTTTACCGCGTGGGAAGTTCCAGGGTCCACCTACACAGGGCTGGCCTCCAACCTAAGCCACAAGTCAGCAGAGTGACCTTGAGCCAATGCTTTTGTCTCTGCCCCGTGTGTATTTGTGCTTCGTGCGTGTGCGTGTGCGTGTGTGTGTGTGTGTGTGTGTGTGTGTGTGTGCGCGCATGCCCGTGCTTGTTGGAAGATTGACTCTCAAGATGTAGGCCAGGCTAGCCTCGAATTCTCGATCCTCCTGCGTTACCCTCGATAGTGCTCGGTCAGGGATTTCGTTCCCATCCACAGGCATCATTGCGTCTGACTTCTCTCGGCCACCCCCAAGTTGCCTGACTCCTTCCACGGTTTAGCCGCCACTGGGAAGTGGTGGCACCTGGCAAGGGGGAGCCCGAACACCTAGAAGGCCATCTCATAGGTCCCAGTGCAACCACTGCTGTTCTTTTCCTGACCGTCCGTCAGCTGCCTCGTTGCTTTCGCAGCTTAGCTTGCGGCCTGCTCGGGTGTCACTGCCACTGCTGTTCCGCCGTCCCCTGTCGCCCCTCCTCTCCCGCTGTCTCGGCTGTGACCATCACTTGCTACTGTCTCTGCTTCCTACGTCTTTGGGAGTTACCAGCTCAGCCCACACTGCTGAAAGCAAGGGCGAAAAGACCACCTGAGAGAAACCTTTCCTTGGGCGCTTTTGTGACACAGGAACCGGTCTGGAGAGCCAGAGCAGCCTGCAGTTGAGCCAAGCAGGGCTGTCTGTTTGGACCAATCACAGCCTTTCCCCTTAGCGGCCGCCTCAGCGAGACTATCGGGGTAACTGCGCCCCTTCTGGCCAGAGTGAAAAATAGTGGCAAAGTCACGTAGGGCTCTGCAAGACTTAGGATAGGAGATTGTGGTACAGGCGCTCCGCAGAATGCTCGCGGTCGTGCAGGAAGCTCTTCCTTCATTTCCCAGCACCAGGTATACTGGCTCGTTCCTGTAACCCTGGCACTTGAGAGATGGAGGCAAAGCAGGTCAAAATCAAGGTTGTCTTCCTCTGTGAAGGAAGTTCAAGACCATCCTGAGCTAAAGATCCTGTCTCAAAAAAAAGGGCCTGGTACAAACTGTTCCAAACATCCCTGGCTGAGGCTGCGCCTTCAGGAGCCGAGGCAGTGAAGCCACGCTCTTTACATAGTTTCCTCTGGGTGTCTGTGGAGTATTCAAGATGGCTGGTGCTGGCATACGGTAGTCTGGTTGGGTTATACTGACAGTGCTTTTGCTCAAGGCAACAAGGGCAAGTCCAACCGCTGCTGAAGCTTCATTGCCCACTCCAGTGTTTTTGCTCATTTACAGAAATGAACATCAGAAGAAGAAGAAAAAAAAAAAAGAAACACAATATTGTCTTAATCAGGGTTACTATTGCTGTGATGAAACACCATGGCCAGAGCCAAGCTAGGGGTGAAAGGGTTTATTCTGCTTACACTCCCACATCACTGTTCATCACTGAAGAATGGCAGGGCAGGAACCTGGAGGCAGGAGCTGCTGCAGAGGCCATGGGAGAGCGCTGCTTACTGGCTTGCCCAGCCTGCTTTCTTATAGAACCCAGGACCACCAGCCCAGGAATGGCTCCACCCACGGTGGGCTGGACCCTCTCCCATCAATCAATAAGAAAATGCCCTACAGACTTAACTGCCTACAGCCTAATCTTACGGGGGCATTTTCTCAACCGAGGTTCTCTCTCAGATGACTCTAGCTTGTGTCAAATTGACATAAAAACTAGCCGGTACAAACATAGCCTTGAGTTTATTAACACTAAGACTCAATTTTTTAAAGATTTATTTATTTATTTATTTATTTATTTATTTATTTATTTATTTATTTAGTATGGATACAGTGTTCTGTCTGCATGTACGCCTGCAGGCCAGAAAAATGCACCAGATCTTATTATAGATGGTTGTGAGCCACCTTGTGGTTGCTGGGAATTGAACTCAGGACCTCTAGGAAGAGCAGCCGGTGCCTTTACCTCTGAGCCGTCTCTCCAGCCACTAAGAATCCGTTTTAACAGAATGGCTTAACAGTGCCTACACCTGCCTGGTGCCCAGGAAGTCAAGGCGTCCACCGGTCTGTCTAACTCGCAAGGAGTCAGATATAGGAATCCCTTTGTAACAGAACTGAGTCTTTCTCTGCCATGGTAGAAGGCCACTGGATGCTATCTAAAATGGAAAAGAATGGAAGGTGGACAGAAACAGTGTGCATACAGGCTGGAGAAGGAAGGCGAAGTTCCAAGAGTTTGAGGGTAGGAACTTCATCAGTTTGACTCATGGCTTCGTCTCCCGTGTAGGAAGCCTGGCAGTGATTGGTGCAGACTCTCTGTCCGCAGCGGGAGGGGCCTGGGGAGCCAGGGATTGCTGGTTCTTGTGTTGTTTCTATAGCGCTATTTGATACCTAACACCATGTGCCTGCGATGCCTAAATAAAAATAATAAACATACTTCAAGGAGAAACAAACAGGCCACCATGCCTAAGACACAGGACAAAATATAGAGGGGGGGGGAAAAGGAGTGGAAGGGAGGGAGGGAGGCCAAGAAGTAGATGATGAAAAAATAAAAATAAAACCTTTTAGAGAATCTAGGGTCACTCTGAAACCCCACCGGTGAACTACAAGCTCACAGAAGAGCCACCAACTTCTCAGCAGAGCTACATGGGTGAAGATGCCGTCACTACTTCGGCCTCTGCACCTTGAGCCACAGTGACCAGCTGTACCCACCTAGTCACGCTTCCAGCCTGGTGACCATCCCAAGCATCCCAGTACCCAGGTAGGCTAGGAAACACCCTTCCCTGGTGCCCAGTTCTCTATGGGAGCACCCTGCTGAGAGGAATCTGGGCCAGGCAGACAGAAGGAGCTGCTCACAGGGTTCCCAGTTACATCACACAACTTTAACTAGAAGCATGGCCGTAGGCCTGGCTTGCAGAAAGTCAGCCTTGCTGGCCACGCCTTGGAGGTCTTGTGGGTTCCCACAAGGTTATCAGGCCAGAGAGCTAGGTAGCTACACCCCCAGGCCAAGTCACAGATCTGTCCTGAGACTGAGTACCGGGCCAGGCAAACAGTAAAAGAGAAGTGGTTTCAAATGCTAGGGTTTCTCTGAACATCTTCCACTCTGCAGAGAGGAAGGCTAGTCACCTCCAGGTGGGCTCCAGCCCTGCACCTTCCTCTTGCCTGGAATCCAGGTCTCAGGCAACATGCTGTGTACCCGCTTCTTATTTCCAGGGTGGGGTTATCTTTCTTGTGTCGGGGGAAGAAGCGTGTTTGGCCTTTGGTTCTGAGAGAACATGTCTGGACGGAGGGTTGCTGGGAGACCCTAAGGAAGTGAATTTCCTCTTCTGGGACCCAGAGCTCAGATGGGTTGAGACATTTGTTCGCTGAGTAGCCAAGAGGGCTTGGGAACCCTTAGAGCAATGCCCACTTTGTCCTCCCAATTTACACTGTCCTAAGTCTGAGTTTATTCATTGTGCTAAGAACTGGCAGGTCTTATGTACAAATACTGTCCCTTCCCCTCAGGATAGAGCCACACCTCAAGGGAGGGGCTGATACCAGAGAAACAGAAGGGCCACCGTGATAACAGGGAGGAGTCCTACAGAGGCAGAGAGGTTGTAGCTAACAAAAAGTCTTGAAGTTTTGGGGGGTTTTGGTTTGTTTTTTTGTTTTGTTTTGTTTTGTTTTGTTTTTGACACAGGATGTCCATGAAACCAGAGGACAGTTTGCCACAGGCTATGGCAGGTGGGGCTGCCTGGTAGAAACAGGAAAGGGCTGCAGCTCAGCCGAGACGGTTGTGTGTGTGTGTGTGTGTGTGTGTGTGTGTGTGTGCATGCAAGTGCAAGCCCACGAGGCCAGAGGTCAGCATCAGGTAGCTTCCTTTTTTCCTTTTTAATTAAAAACAAGGTGTCTCGCTATGTAGCCCCAACCAGCCCCAGCCCTGGTTGTTTTGAGACATGGAAATCACACACCGAGTGGTGGTGGCTCATGCCTTTAATCCCAGAATTCAAGAGGCAGAGGCAGGCAGATGGATCTCTGTGAGTTCTAGACCAGACTGGAATATAGAATGAGTGAGTTCCAGAACAGCTACACAGAGAAACCCTGTCTTGAAAAACCAAAAAAGAAAGAAAGAGAGGGGGGGGAGGGAGGGAGGGAGGGAGGGAAGGAGGAAGAGAGAAAGAGAGAAAGAAAACACAAGGAGTTTTTTCCACCAAATATTCCTCCAAGAAGTATGTAATATTTCAAGATATTTTAAGTATTTAGGATTTAAATATCAACACAGTTGATTAATATAATTAATGTTAATAGTATTTTAACATAAATAGATGATAAGTCTGCTGTTCTGTACAGCTCAAATCCTATCCCTTTCATGTAGCCTTCCTGGATCACCAACCCAAGATCTTCAATGGCAAGATGAACCCCAAAGAGTCTCAGCACCATCCAGTGACTCAAGACCCCGGACTCAAATGATATCTGCTGGAGATGGAGGAAGAACATAGGATCAAAGCAAACGGTTCGTGATTCTAGTGTTGTCCTTATTGTATTGAGCAAGGCGAACTGTAGGCTCGGGCTTGACCCCCGACCAAGTTCTAAACCAGTGCTGCCGCAACAGTCAGTCTCTAGCAGATCACAGCAGGTGTCTGTCTGTTGGCTAAGGAACAATAACAAGAGGGGAGAATTTCTCATGTCACTGCCCAGCTTATGCTCCTTCCTGGTGTAAAACAGCCAACATTCAGTAACAATTCTACATTCAGTAGAGGCCAGACATGGTTGTGCTCACCTTTAATCCCAGCATTCAAGAGGCAGAGGCACGCAGGCCTCTGTGAGTTTGAGTTTGAGGCCAGGCTGGTCTACATAGAGAGACCTGTCTCAAAGAAAACAAACAAAACAGCTAGTATAATAGGGTAGGTCTACTTTGTCTCCCAAGGTCCAGAGTCCCATGGGGTTTACCCAAAGGCCCCATCACCTGTGTGTTCAGTAACTAAGCAGAAAGAACCCCCAGAAGCACCAGCAGGGCATCCTGTGTCTCCCAGGAGATCTGAGTTAGATAGGGGTGGTGACAGCTTTAAGAGGGGAGGAGAGCATGCAGCACTCCAAGGAATGATGGGAGCAGAAATGGGGGCCCAGGGTGAGGTGGAAGAGGAAGGGAAAGGGGGGACTTAGGGAAAGTGGGACTCTGGGGACCACCGTGATGACGTGCCCACACCATGTCTGGGGCCTCGGAAACTGTGGGCTTCGCCTGAAAGGTCCCATCTGACCCAGTAGCCAAGCTCTGAGGTCTCTAATCCTCAGACTTTTAGTTTGTCAAACCGAAGAATCACACAAGAACTTCCGTGATATGCGACCATTCTGAAACGGTCTGCTGTGTGGTACCTGCTAGGTGTTCAACAGTTGTATTTACCCACAGTAGGTCTCCTACTGTGACCTGCAGTGGGGGATGGGGAATTAATGATAAAGATGCCACTTGAGCAAGTGCATTATGGGAGCAGCTCTTTGTCCCATACCTGTGGACTACAGGAATTTGTCTAGCCACATCTTTGAGCCTCAGTGGTCTTTTGTGACAAACAGCAATCAGAAATAAGCCAAGACCAGGCTCTGATGAGATCTGTCTGCAGGCACCCAGCAAAGGCAGGCTGTGGGTGTGGGCCAGGAGTAGAGGCATACTGTGGTTGAGTGTCTCGGGCAGGGCAGGCAGGGTGAGGCCAGTATTCCAGGGCTCCCCCCCCCCCGCCCCTTCCATGAACAGCTCTGGCAATCAGCCGAGGCCAGCTGACAGGTTCTGATAAATAAATATAAACAACCATGGCCCCGGGCTCTACTTGGAGGCTATTGGCTTTCTCAGGAAGATCTAGCTAGAGGGCACTGTGTGACAGGTTTTGGGGTGCCAAGAAGAATTGGTAGGCAGATGTCATTGGTAGCTCTGAGCTGAGGGCTCACTGTCCCTAGCCACAGTGTCATACTGGAGCGATGAACTAACTGTGGCAATATTGACAGTGATTATAGCACCCGCTTGCTAAGTGCTAATGACCCTGTTTAATGTTCAAAGGAAGCTGAGAAAAAAGATTCTCACTAAACACTTCAGATGCAGGACCTTGTATCAGGATACGTGAAAAACTCCTATGACTGGAGAGTGGGAAGTCATCCAGCCAATGAAAATGCACGAAGGGTCTGAGCAGATGCCTACCCAGAGAAGGTACCTGTGGGTGGCAAATGAACAGCCTCACTGTTGCTTGAGGTACCAGCGGGCTTTGCCCCTCCTTCAGCTACCACAGTGCAGCCTCTGCCGTGCTGCCATGTCCACTCTGTAAGCACAGAGAGCCCATCCCAAAGCTTGCTTTCTAGCTCCTGTTGACGGTGAAGAACTGGGGCGCTCAGTGGCCGTGACCAGATCCCAGGCAAGGCTGTCAGCCCCACAGGACCACCTGTCTCTTCTTGTTGGACCCCAGAATTCCCCTTTACCACATCCTGAGGCCCAGGCTCCTCTATGTTCTTTTGATGGTGCTCTTGCCAAGGAACGCATGGGACAGGACAGCTGTCTGGTGTCGACGCCTGTCCATAGTTCAAGGTGTCAGATTCCGGACTCATGACCCTCTCATGAGGGTCATGTCCAAACTGCCACCAAGGAGACCTGTGGAAAGTCCTCAGGTGCTGGGAATTCCCTCTGCAGAATCTGGCCTGACCGACATGCAGTTCTATAAATGTTCATGTTTGTCTCCTTATCTTTTTGTGTCATTTACTAAAGTATTGATATAGTTTTAGTAAGTAACTATTTTTAGGTTGCAAAACTTAATTCTTCATCTTTATATGATTAAACCCAAAATCTTTGATGTGGAAGAAATAAAGGTCATGTGTTTAATCCTGAAAAAAATAATGATGAAGATGAAATCTCAGGGTTAGGGTTAGGCCACGACCCTCCTCGCATGGTCCCAGACACTCCTGTAGGCAAAGGTGATCAGGTAACACACAGAAAGCTAAACATGAGGAGCGCAGACTCAATCCTGTTTCTAGGACCTTCTCTCGAAAGGATTCTTGGGGAAGAGAAAGAGAGAATATAGCAACATAGTCACTCAGAAATGTGAGAATTCAGAGGTGACCTAGGACCCACAGCTGAGACAAAGATATTCTATTTACATATTTTTTTCATTTGTTGATTTATGTATTGTTGTGATACTGGAGATTTGAAATAAGGGCCTCATGTACACCATGCAAGTGCTCTGTAAATGTACTATATCTTCAACCTTCTTTAGAATCTTTAATTTTGAGGCCATTCTTGAACTTATGAGTCTCTTGCCTCAGCCTCCCAAATACAGGCCTGCATCACCACAGGCAAGAGGATGCTGTACTTAGACATAACCAAGCTGCCATCCATTGGAGCCTGTACCAAAGTGAATGGCTGGAGCCTCGCCAGCTTCTCGTGACCAAGCTCTGTCACTGTGGAGCACCTCACAGCAACGGAAGAATGAGGACATGCACACACTGCCGTTTCAGACAGGTCTCAAGGAGAGACTGCTAAATGGTGGGTTTCACTTTAGGATTATATGTGAAGTTGGAAAATGAGGAGCGACGCCAGGGATGGGGGTGGGGAGTGCACACACCTTTAATCCCAGCACTCAGGAGGCAGAAGCAGGAGGATCTCTGAGTTCAAGGCCAGCCTGATCTACAGAGCAAGTCCAGGACAGCCAAGGCTACACAAAGAGACCCTGTCTCAAAAAAAAGAGGGAATAAATGTAGATTTGTATTTATGAGTATAAAATTCTGGAAGAACTCATAAGGGACAGATATTTTTAAAAAGCTCCATTGCATGTAACTAGGGAGAGCTAAGCAGATGACAGACAAGATGGGAGGCAGGTTTTCCTCAGTTCTGAATCTGCAGTAAACCTCTATGTGCACAAATTCCAGATCTGTGTTTCCATCCAGCCATGGGCCAGAGACATTCAGGGTCTGGCTATAGTTTGATAGTAGAGCCCTGGTTAGTCAACAGGTTCCAGCCCCAACACACACACACACACACACACACCACAAAGATGTCACATCTGTGCCGAGCATACACAGAGTTTTTCATTGAGATTATTTCCTAAAAAGACACCACAGCAGCCAACTATTTCTACAGCATTTCCATGATGCCAGGTATGATAAGTCACACCTGTCATGAGACTACAGGAGGATGTGACAGATTTGATGAAGAGATGAGGCCTACCATAGTTAGCTTTGACTGTCAGTCTGAGAAAGCCTACAGCCATGTGTGAGGCACTGCCTCAGTCAGATTGGCTTTGTGGGAATGGCGAGTTCAAGGGAGAGCTTGTGCCAATGCCTCACATTTAAGAAATGACAATGTTTTCTCTTTTGAAATATGACTGTTTGGGGGCTAGAGCAATGGCTCAACAGTTCAGAGCAGTTGCTGTTCCTGTTGAGGACCCAGGTTTGATTCCAGCACCACACCGTGGTCACACCCACCTAACTCCAATACCAGCGCATCTGCTTCCTGCTCTAGAGGTGGCGGGACCTGGGAGAAAGGGGGCAGACTGAAGTCTCAAGCAATAGCCCACTTTATTCAGAGTAGCAGACAATGTATACTCTGAGGGCTAACAGAAGACATACAAGTAAAGTGTGCAATCATAAGGGCAGGCTGCACGTGGCAGACAGGGAAGCAGAATCCGAGAACAATCCCATGTTTCTGAAGAAACAGGTCGGAAGACTCTGTCTTGGTTTCTTGGAGTTTTCTTGAGCACTCAGAAATCTCCTTACGCGACTCCGTCCTGGGACCGCGTTCCAACGCAGATCCAAAGCTTTCTTCTGTCTTCCACAGACATCAAGCACAAACGTGATGCATGAACTTACGTGCAGGCAATATTCATATACATAAAATAAAAAATAATCTTTAAAAAAGAACGATGACTTTGCGACTCTGTGAGCAGCCTTCTGCCAGTGTAACACTCTGGGCCACCCTCCTGCAGTTGGCAGAAGGGTACTTAACATCTTTTCCCAGATCTTACATAGTAGTGAAGGGGCAGGGCGCTGTGTGGCCCAGTGAACCAGATAATTGCAGGGGCATCAGAATGAGGGGGAGACAGGCCCAAAAGGTCACAGTCTGCAAGGCTCCTGGTGTGTGTCACTCTGGCAAAGGCAAAAAGGACAGGGGCCAAAAACTGGTCCTGTGGGTGGGGGAGATGTTGGAAGGTGTGTCAGGAAAGGTTAGTAGTGGTGGTTCGGTGGCTTGTAGAAAACAAACAGCAGTCACACAGATATGTAGGCTCTGATTTTTTTTAAACCTACTTTACTTGGACTTTATGTTCACTATTCTATCTACATATATGTTAGAAAAAAAATTCCAAAACAACAACTAAAATCAAACCCAAGGACCGCAAAGGGCTCTTTTCCAGTTTGTCATCAGACCCCCTTGCTGTGCAGACCCCCAGTCAGCAGCGTCCCACCAGGGCTCTCTAACTTAACCTGGTGCTTTAGCGCTCTCTCTGCCTGGACTGCTCTCCCCTCTCCCACTCAACTCATTCCTTTACCTCAAGTCTTTAAAAAAACTCCATCGAAGCTGAAGCCCGAGGTGGCCACCCTTCCTGCCTCCAGGCGCATACTATCCCAGAACCAGCGGGATCTGGAAGCTTTTGCTCCATCAAACCACTCCCATCCTTCAGTGCACTCCTGTGGAGCGGTGCCCCAGGCACAGATAGGGAGCTTCATCTGTTTTGCTCATCTGTGTCGCCTGCTTCGAGGGAGATTCTCAGTGGATTGAAGAACACCCAAATAAGCCAGATCTACACCCCTATTCTGGTCCCTGTGAGAACCAAGCAGGCACAGCCACCGGAAGCTTCCGGCACGGAGTCACTCAGTGACCCCAGCAAACATTCATTGCTCACTTTATTCTCTTATTTTCCAGAAAGGACTTTATGCATTTGGTTTGGGTGGGCAAGGGTTGCATATAGCTCAAGCTGGAGATGTAGTGAGAATTGCCCTAACTCCTGCCTCCACCTCCTAAGTGTTAGGATTCACAGACCAGCACTATGCCTGCCTGCCTTCCAAAAAGGATTTCTGCAGGGCTTACAGACCCCAGCAAGTAAAGAGACATAAGTAGGGAAGAGAGAGTCAAGGGTCATGTGCTAGGCCAGTGGTTCTCAACCTTCCTAATGCTGCGACCCTTTAATACAGTTCCTTGTGTTGGGACGGCCACCCCCAACCATAACATTATTTTCATTGCTACTTCATAACTGTTATTAATCGTAATGTAAGTATCTGTTTTTCCAATGGTCTTAGGCAGCCCCGGGGAAAGGGTTGTTCGAGGGTCATAACCCATAAGTGAGAACCACGGTGCTAGGACCTGTTGGAGGCTCGTCAGCCCAGACTCTCCCCTGAACCACGTCAACAAGCATAAATGCACAGGAGGGCTTCCCCGGGGAAGCGGTGCTTGGACAGTGATGCCCTGGCATGATGCAGATGAGTGGACTGTGCAGACACTCTCCAGGAACACACTCTGGCCATCTCCACCTACATTCTTTGGGAATGAACTCACCTGAGACTCACGGGTCTTATCTTCCTAGTTCACAATTGCCTCCAGCCCTGACTCAACCCAGCTCACAGCCCTCTCTGAGGGAAGGATCCCCTTCCGTCATTTGCATATAATGACCCACCTCAGCCTTCTTTTGTTTACAAACGCTGTGATACAGAGCAGGCTCGTTAAGCAAAGGAAATTATTTGCTCAGAAAAGATACTCAGTAGTATATCTGACCCCTAAACAAACAATAAAAATAATCAGGAGAAATCAAAATGAAAATTTAGTGGGCACAAAACCAGACAAAAGTGTTCATTAAATGGATATGCTAATGGCCTGGCAGCCTGGGAAAAGGTTCAAGAGCCAGTCACTGCCACTAATGACAAAATGTCTGCCGAAACTTACAAAAACTGTCAGTAGAAACGTACATTTGGTTGTCCATTTGGAAAAGGGTCTTGCAGTTTTTCACAGAACTAGATAGACACTAGCTATAAAACCCAGCAATACAGTCCCGGGAGCTACCCCAGGGGAATGCTGGCCGGAGGGTATCCAGTGTTACTCACAGCAGCCCCAAACCAAAACAACACAACAGCCCATTAACACGTGATGAGTAAACTGGTACATGCTCACTGTGAAATACCCGACACAATGATGAACATGATAGCAGCAGCGACATGACTGATCACAGGTGGAAGCAAAGGAAGAAACTGGATACTAAAAGGTAAATAATGCGTAGTTCCATTTTATAAAAGCTGTTTAGTCAGCAGTGGCGACAAGTCAGGGAGCATAGTTAAAGGAAGGGGGTCCCACAAAGATCCTCATTTCGCCAACGCTTGTCTGTCTGTTACACACACACACACACCCTGTTCCAATTTGAATTCATAGCCATTGTGAGTCTATTTGTGTGGTGATCTCATAGATATGGACATCAATTTTGCACCTTAATTAGCAGAATGTAATTCTGTGACTATCCATGGCAGGCAGGCTTTCCAAAGACTATCTGTTGAGCAGTATTTCCAAATACTTAGCTTCTAGGGAGACACTGGTTCCTGGGTACCCTGCTCCGCAGAGACCTCGCATTTCTGCCTTTCTTTAGGAGAGGTGGCTTTTCACCCAGTCCCAAACACGCCTGGGGGTAATGTCACAACAGCAGCTCCAGCTGCTCCGGCTGGGTGGACTGCACAGCGCCAGTCCCTGCAGGGTTCCAGCTGATAATACTATGCCTTCAGATGCCCTGCATCGGTAAAATGGGGTCTGGCATCTCTGTGTCTCAGACTTTGAAAGAGGCCTAATATTCGATGGCTGTCGCGGGGAGGATCAGAATTGCCCCACAAGTCGTTATGTGTTTTTCAGATGGGTCCGTGTGGGTCCTAAAGATACCTCTGGGGTAACCGCTAGAACAATCGGCACCGTCGAGGGGCCAACACATCATTGTTGCGGCCGCGAGTAAAACCCGCAGCGCGGCGCCTTTAAGAGACGCCAGGAATGTATCCAAACAGACCGTGCGCGCGGTGCACGTGACTCACAGCTGATTTCCGGCCCGGCCCCCTTCTCCGGCCCGGGCCGCCGGAGAGTCAGTTTGCTGCTGCCCGCGGTCCCCAGCCTCGACTCGCGGGATGGCGCACGCGGCCCCGCCGGGCGCGCTGGAGCAGAGCGGCCCCATCCGCGTGGAGCACGACCGCCAACGCCGCCAGTTCTCCGTGCGCCTCAACGGTACCGCGCTGCCTTTGTTTGCGCGCGCGCGGGCGGGACGGGGCGGGACCTCGCGGGCGGACGGATCCCGGGGCGGGAGGGCTCCCGAACCCCGACTGGCACCGCCGGAACGCGCCCGGCCGGGCAGCCCGCACCTGCTAGCGCTGCCGGCTTCCGGCATCGCGGACGGGGGCTGCCACCCCGGATCCCGGAGAGCGGGTCGCTGGTGGCCTGCCACCCCCCCCCCCCCCCCCCCGGGTGTTCGGTTGCTTCCTGCCGTCCTGGAGGAGCCTGCGCGGGCCTGGGGCGTATCACAGGGAACGTGCGGCCTGGAGGAGGAGGCGGATAGGTGGCTCTGAGACTTTGGCCAACTTGCCCGGCCTCGGTCTCCCGGAATCTGCAGTGGGGAGAGCTGTAGCGTACACCGCTTTGGCTGGCAGTGAGCGCGAGATGCGCTGGCAGTAAAGGCTCAGAGTGACACATTTGGTGCACAGCAAGTGCTGATAAACATAGATAAATAGCTACTTATCAAACCAGATAGCGAAGTCAAGGCCTCGTCTTCCGTAGCAACTGTACCAGCAGACCGACACTCCTTCCATTGATCCTAGGGGCTGGAAAAGATTGTAAAGTGTGGGACCTTGAGCTCTCTGTAGCCCCCCCCCCTCCCAGCTGGGCTCCCTGGGAACATCCGTGGCCTAACTTAGAAGCCACTGCCCCTATTTTGAAGGGACGCCCTCCTGTGAGGTCGGCCAATAAGTTGTAAGCAGTGAAGAGACTGAGCAACCTCTCCTGACTTCCTGAGCCAACCTTCTGTTACCTGCACTTGGTCACAAGCAGAAGAGGCCTGGTCCCCCCTTTGAGCTACCTAACCACCAAGGAGGCAGCTGTCACTTCCTGTGTTGTGACATACTGCTCCACAACATTACAGACGAGTAAACTGAGGCTGGGACTGCAGGAAATGACCTGCCCGGCCTTAACAAGACCAGAGCCATACTCAAATCTGAGCCCAGCTGCCCCTAGCTGCCATACTCTTTCCATAGAGACAAGTCCTGTCGTCAGGATGGTGGTAGCTCAGCTGGCAGCAACGCTTGGCCCTGGTCACTTGAGAGGCCTTATCAGAGGTTTTGTTAGATCCTCTTTTCTGAAGTTTTCTTGGTTCCAGGAAGGCTCTGATTCTCCAGGTAACTCTGGAGGCATATTAGATTCACAAAGGCAGAGAACCCTCGGGCTTCTCTCCCTCCCTCCCCCCCCCTCTCTCTCTCTCCTCCCCCTCCCTCTTTCTTCCTCTTTCTCTCCCTTTTTTCTCCAAATGGGCCCAATCAAAAGAACAGTACTCCAGAATTGCCTGTGAGCAGACTCTCTTCTTAAAGTTAACTCTTCTTAATGTGCTGTCCTGACAACGGGCAGACAAAGTGGCTAGAGACAGCCCCTCCTCCACTCCTCCTGCACAGCCTGGGCCAACAAGTACTTACTGAGTACCTACTATTTACCAGCGTTCTTCAAAATACCCAGGATGTGTGGGGCTGACAGTCGAGAGAGGAAGAAATTATGTAGTATCTTATAAAGCAAAGGCCTTCCGGAGAAGTAGAGCTGGGCAGAAGGAAGGGTATATAGGGTCAGGCCTGCCATTTGGCAACAGGTTCCAAGCAGGTGGTATTTAAGTGAAGACCTGAAAGACAAGAAACAGCTGTAGTAGTGAAGAGGGCACCATGTGAAAAGAGACCAAAGACCCCAAGGCACCCATTGCGTGTTCCGAGCAGCCAGGAGCAGCACAGGGATAGAGGAGCATAGCATGGTGGGTCGGATAAGGCTAAGAGATCACTGGGGACGAATAGTATAGGACCTGGGAAAGTGAACTTGGGTGAATTTGGCACTGCGGGTTCCCTGATGACATGGATCAGGAACCCTAAGGCTGTACTCATGGGGAACATAAAATGGCACGTGATAGAGTGAGGAGCTGGCTACAACACTAGTCCAAGCAGTGTGAGCGGGGAAGAAATGTCTAACTCCTGATGGACTATGACAGGAAAGATGGTGTCTGTTGATGTGGGCTGTGAGAGACTAGAACTCAGGTATATATGACTCCAAATTAAAGTTCTGAAGTGCTGGGCGTATGGTCACTGTTTCATAGGTGGGAAACCGAAGCCCAAGGGCTGGTGGACAACTAGCCCAGGGTAGACCCTCAGGTTGCCATCTGAGGGTTGTTGTCATCTGAAGGTTGGAAGAACATAGATAAGGCCCCTGCCTCCAGCCCCTTCCTTGGCCTCCTCTTTCTTCCCTCAGCCAGGGTCAGCCATTTGGGTTTGTGTGTATGTGTTTAAAGATTTGTTTTTAAATTGTGTGCGTGTGTACAACATGCATTCCAGTGCCTGTAGAGGTCAAATGAGGGCATCAGATCCTGCAGCTGGAGCTACAAGCAGGTGTGAGCTGCCAGGCATGGATGCTAGGAACAGAGCTGAGATCCTCCGTAAAGGCAGAAAGCCCTCTGACCTGCCGAGCCAGCTCCAGGCTCTGGGACTGCTATTGTTTCAGGAAGGCTCACTCCAATCCCTCCCAGAATGCTCTCTACCCCCAAATAGGAGGGACTGAGCCCAGCTGCGTCCCTCAGTCGCAGAGTGTTCAGCGCGGCCCCCAACACGCTTGTCTGAGGTCTGGGGCACTCAGAGCTTAGCCAAGACTGCCAGTGATCCAGGTGGTAGGGGCCATGACCACTCAGCCATTGCACGGGTGTTGGCGGTTGTTACAACTGACAGGGCCACCTGCGCTTTCTGCCCCACGATGGTGAACAGTCAGGGGAAGCCCCTGATGAGGGGAACCCTGGAGTGAGAAGGTGCTACCCAACTGGGAGGCCCTGGGTATAGATGTGGCAGGTGGAACAATCAGCAAGCAGCTGACCAAACTTAGTAGCTGCCGTAGGGAGGGGCTGCAGTTGGGGTGTGGCTGGAGCCTGCTGACATACCTAAAAGCAAGCCCCTGGACTTCTGCAGCCATGACTTAAGCGGACACCGGCTGGGGACGTGGCTGTTCTCTGGGGACCCAGCCAAAGGCACAGGGGCCAGGCCTTGGGGCTGCCGCATAGTACTAGTCCACCTCCAGTCTCAGCAGGCAGAGAACAGCTGTAGTAGCCCAGGGTTGTCCATTGCCCAAGTAGGCTCCCTGGAATCGAGAGCAGGAAGAGACTGAAGACACTAGCAAGTTTGCAAGAGCTCAAGCCCCCATTCCTCACCCCCACCCCCAAGACTGCTGGGAGCATAAGCTGATCTTTTGGTGGCCCATAGGCTTATATGCTGTGGCTCTAGGATCCCTGTCACCTGGTTCCCTACACTGCCTGTCCCTAACTCACAAAAGCCAGCCACTCTAGCTTCTTCACTGTTCTGAGCTTCTTGAGGATTTGGTTCTGCTGTTCTCACCACCTGGACTCCTCATGCCAGTGTCCTGGGACCCTCATTCCCTCAGGTCTTTTGTACAAAAGCTGGCTGTCCTCTTTATAATGACAGCTTCCACTCCTGCTCCCTGCCCCTTCTCTGGTCATCTGTGTCTACCCTACTGCTTGTGTCAGCTTTGTCCACTCCAAACACAGCCAGAACATAGTAGGCGGTCAGTGACTTAGGGACACCTGAGAGGTCAGGACAGATGGACGGATTGCTCAGTAATGAGGTCAGTCCTACAGCTTCTCTCTGCACTCTCACCTCTAGTGGGCATGACTGACCCCAGCAAGTACAGAACCATGGGGCCTGGGTCCCATGTCTTACAGCTGTATCGGGTGGCTGTGGGAGCTACAGCTAGGCTTTGGCCAGGGAATGGGCACAGCCCCAGAATAAATCCATATAAGGAGGGAGGCTTCAGCACAGGGAAAGGCCATGGCCTTTGTGCACCTGGCTGAGAAGGGAAATGGCATTCTAGGTCTGGAGGTGGGAGGATGAGGCTACAGCTCCATGAAACAAAGCACTCAAGGCTGGCTGTGCTGATACATGGGTTCTAGGCGAGCTTGGGCTACACAGTGAGACCCTGTCTCAGAAGAAGAGGAAGCAAAAACACAGCCTGGAGAGTGGAGATCTGAGTTACACTCTACCTCCAGGCCCCGTGTGACTACATGACTTGGATCTCGAGAGTCCAGCTCTGGACATGAGGTGAACCACAGCCTCCCTCCTGGAACTTGCACACCGAGGGTGGAACCCTCAAAGGTGCCTGGAGTGTGTATGAGATGTCACCCTCCGCTCAGCCTGTCATTCGCCTTGTGACACCTGGCACAGGCAGGGGACCCAGAGGGCATTTAGGAGCTGATTCTCTGGCATGTGACAGTTTGCACATGTAAAATGCAGCTTGTTTAAAAGTTAAAATACGTGAAGTGCAAGTTGCTTTTGTGAAAGTGGAGCGTTCAGCCCAGCAGCGGTGTCACGCCTTTAATCCCAGCACTCCAGAGGCAGAGGCAGGTGGATCTCTGTTAGTTTGAGGCCAGTCTGGTCTACAGAGTAAGTTCCAGGACAGAAAAACCCTATCTAGGAAAAAAAAAAAAAAAAAAAGAAAAGAAAGAAAGAAAGTAGAGCATTCAAGGCCAGCCCAGCCCTAGGAAGTTCTAGGCCAGCTTAGGCTCCCTGAGACCCTGTTCAAAACAGACAGATGGATAGACAATGACATTTTATTTTAATGTTAGGGAACCCTGTGATCCAACCTGGCCTCTAGGACTCTCCTGTTTGTGCCTCCTCTTGTTCTTTCTTCGCAACCGACGAGCTCTGTTCTGGGAGCCCTCTGGGAACCCCTGTCATAATGGCTTTACCTCTCCTTGGTGCTTGCTTGAGCGTTTCTTTCATACACAGGCAGTCCCTTCAAATAGAAAATGTTGGGTTTGCCTTTGGATTCTTTTTCTCATTGAGCACACCTCAACTGCCAGCAGGTCCTCCAAAGGTGTCCCCTTTAGACCCGTCTAGCCTCCACTTCCCACCAGGACTGAGATGGCTGCCTCATAAGACTCTTTTGCCCTAGATTGTTGATGCACAGCAGAGCCAGAGTTACCTTCCAACCCTCTACTGAGGACCTAGGTCATGACGCCAAGAGGGTACTATGGGACCTTCCCCATCACTTCCCACTCCCTTGGTCCACTGCAGCTGGCCACAGCAGCATCCTCACTGCCCTGCCCCGGACCCTTTTCACAGCTGCTCCTGCCGGAGCATCTCTCTGATCCAGCATTTCTCACATCCATTCCCCATCTACAGATATGTCACACGCTACTTGCTTTTCTTGTTTCTCTTTCCTCCCCTTAGTCATGAGGGCAAATCCTTGTTCCTTGCTGTATGCCCAGCACCTGAAAAGTGTTTGCAACTCTGTGAACATTGGGTGCATGGCTGGGTGGTTAGATAAACAGACAGAGAACTACAAATTGTGATTGGAGCAACTTCCCCAGTAACATTTGCCAGCAGGATTCCTGTTTGACTGGTGAACTCTTGTCCTAGCAGGGCTGGCATGGTGGGTACCCATTTGTTCCCCTTCCTATGCCTATTGGACTCTTGATTTGGCCTGAGTCTTGGCTGCGGGATTGGCAGGACTTAGGCTGTGACTGATACCGTCTCCTGTCTCCTCCTCCTCCACTGAGGTGGATTTGTTGGGCTCTGTTTTGTCCTGAGCTGGACCTTAGGGAGGGAGGTTAGCTGAGAACACAGAGTTGGGGTCCCTGGGGTCCCTCAGCCTGTTGCAGAGAGTGCCCTCATTGAACCCTACATACAGCCATCTGAGGAATGCCATCATGTTCCTACTCTGGGGGTATGGAAACTAAGGCACAGGGGTTAGTAAAAATTCAGCTCTTGTAGCACACTGGTAGTCTGGCTCCAGATACTGTCCTTCACTCTGTCCTCCACACCTGGGTCTTGGCAACACCTGGGGTTGCCAAGAATAACCGAAGCTCTGAGGGTCCCTGGAGTCCACACCTCAGCTCTTTCTATCCCCTGCTGCAGGATGTCATGACCGGGCTGTCTTGCTGTACGAGTATGTGGGCAAGCGGATCGTGGACCTGCAGCACACAGAGGTCCCAGATGCTTACCGTGGGCGTGGCATTGCCAAGCACCTGGCCAAGGTAGGATGGGTGGAAGAACAGGACATGGCTATCACCCTCCCCTTGCAGGGAAGACGGACTGGTGGCCAACTCTAGTTTGCTTCTATACCACAGCACAGCTTCACAGGCCCATCTGGCCAGGGTTTGCAGCTGGCAGTGGGAGAACATTAGATACCGCTTATGGTGTTCCTAGGACCTCTGTGGCAGGTGGCCGCCTTTCAGAGCAAAGGGCCCTACAGCCTGACTCCACCTGGGGACCAGAGCTTGGCGTGCAATATTTGCTTAGTAAGTCCTGGTGATGCAAAGTGAGTGTCCAAGTTAGTGGGCACATGCCCTGGTCCTCCGCCTCGCCTGCCTCTCCCAGAATCCCAGGCTGCCTGAGGACCAAGTACAGGTGAAGCAAAGAATGGCTTTCAGATGCCACCCTTACCTCTGTGCTTCTGGGTGAGCACTCTGCTGGTTTCCCAATCCTGTCTCCCTCCCTTTTTCCCTGCTCCCAGCTCTCCTAGATTGGAGGCCTTTTTGTGGGGCTTCCTGGCCCTCATGCCCTTCTGTATAGGACCTGGCCACAAGCTAGTCTGTGGTTTAACCCAGTTGCCAGTGAAGGAACTCAAGACGCTGGCCTAGGCGAAGTGGAGGATAGCCACATGGGGAACCTGGGGAAGTAATGAAGAGAGCTGACGATGACCAATCTTCTTGGCTGCGGTGGGCCACAGTCCCCAAGCAAGCTGCTGCCTGTTCTAACAGCTCTTCTCCCTCTGCTGACCCAGGCCGCCCTGGACTTCGTGGTGGAGGAAGACCTAAAGGCCCACCTCACCTGCTGGTACATCCAGAAGTACGTCAAGGAGAACCCCCTGCCACAGTACCTGGAGCGCCTACAGCCGTGACCCTGGCCACTGCGTGCAGGAGTGCACCCTGTGGGCCTTCTACGTGGGCCTCAGCCAGCTCATGTGCTCTCAGGAACCTGTTCCCATCGGGACAGGCTCAGAGTTATTTTTGCAAGGACACTCATCTGCAGCCCTCATCCAGGATTCTGGGGACCAGCTGCTGCCTGAGGATGTGTGGAAATCCAGAGTGGGATGAAGGGCAGGCTAAGTGGCCAAGAGCCCCTTCTCCCAGAGTTCCTCTGGATTTGCTGAGGTCCTCCTTCCACCAGCTGCACCTCCCATCTGGCCCGGCTACTAGGTCCCTGCTCTGATCAGCAAGAAGGTGAGGTAGAGACCCTGCCACCTCCTGAAGTTGTGTCCTTCCTGCAAATGAGAGTGTTCCTGGAGCCAAGAAGAACAACAGGAACCCTATGTGCCAGCTTCCCAAGGTGGAGGTGCCAAGCCTTAGCCACTGCCAGTGCTAACCCTTTCTCTTTCTCAGACTTCTGTGCCCTGGCACAGGCAGTGGAATGGCAGCGAAGGGCAGCCATTCCTGGCATGTAAGAAAGCAGTGGCTACAGCTCTGGCCCGGGCCCGTCTGTGGGCATGCACACCAACACATGAGCACAGGAGACAGGCCAAGTGACAGTCAATGTCTTCCTCTCCTTGGTACCCACACTTTTTGGTTCTCGTGTGCAAGAAAACAAGGTCCCTACTGGCTGTCTGCCTTCCCATGGATTCAGCTCAGCAGCTTGGTGGTGCTCTGCCCTCAGCCTGCTCTGGCCTTTGGCTGCTGTACTTGCCAGGCCTTTCTTGAGGGTCACTTTGGAGACAGGTGAGACAGTGGCACACAAAATCCATTTTGTATCCTCTCTTGTACTCCTGACCATCTCGCCACTGCTGCTTAGGCCACACCATACATCTGTGCACAAACACCTTCCCACTCTGCAGGAGTACCGGAATCTACCAGGAGGCTGTGCATCCTGGCTGGGGAGTCCTTAAGTGCAGCACCCTTGAGCCTCACCACTGCAGTCACGGGCATGGATCCTTACAGTCCCCACCCTCAGCATCTCCCTACCTCTTGCATCCCTGGCTCTTACCCTGTTCTTGATGCTCCTTTTCCAGTCTCCTAAAATTCCAGGATAACCCAGCATACCCCTCCTGCCCCCTTCCCTCACTACCCCATTTGTCTGCTAGGGCCTCTTTTCAGGGTCCAGAGAAACCGCTGGGCCTCTAGGAAGACGTTGCTGACAATTTTCTGCCAGCTGTGGTGGCAGTGGGTCCCCAACACAGTACTTGAATGAGGGTCCCGAGTATGTGGACCCAAGAAGAGTGGCTGGGCTTCCTCGGTGGGCTTGTTCAAGTTCCTGCAGCGTGGTCTCAGCGTCCTCACTGCCTTGGCAGCCTTAAAGTCACACTGGCCACGCCCCGGAAGCTTACAGTCTTGCAGTGTAGCAATAACCATATCTCTGCCTCTTCCTCCTGGCCAATATGCCCACCTGGGCCACTCTGGTGCTATCCCATCTGCCTTTTCCCCACCCCCAAACCCTGCTCCACATCCCAGATCGCTCCAGGAGCCCATAGGCAGGCACTGGTCACTCTAGGCTTCATGTTCTTCAGTACGTCTGTGCTGTGGTCAGATTTCCCCCTGGGGTTTCTTTTCCTTGCCCAGTCTCTACACAGGCAGTAACTCATGTGCCTTTCCTACTCTGAACCTGCCACCAGTAGTATCTGGGCCAAGGCTGGTCTTGGGACCTGCAGCCCCCTCACTTTTCTGACTTTTGAACACATCACATGATCCTGTTGGTGAGTGACAAACTACTAAGGCACAGTGAGGTCAGGGAGCCCCAGAGTGAAGGGCTGGGGAAGACAGGTTGTGTAGGAGGGGCCTTCCCTGGTGTCCAGCCTATTTCTTGGTCCTCAGCATTACTGCACAGTGGCACCGCTCCTGTTCAGGGGGAGCCTGTGCTCTGAGGCCGTCGTGTCCTGACAGGTCTCCCAGCACAATAGTAGCAATTACCGGGATCCCAGCCCAGGTCTGGACACCTTCGTCATCTGCATCCCTACTCGACATTACCTGAACCCCATCGTTTTCCTCGTAGGGGCCACAACTCACTGTTGGGCAACAGCTTTACAGGGGTTCCTAGAAGAGGTTATGGCGCCACACTGGCCTCTGACACGGGCTGCTCCTCGCTCTGGAGCCGGTCATTTGGGGATCCCTGACTGAAAATTGGCAAACACAGGAGCAGTGCACGTTTTCCAAAACAAGGGCACAGGAAACCTGCTCATGCCAGCTCTTACACGAGACCGCCCACAAGAGCCTGGGTAGCGGCCATCCTGAGTGCAGGCGAAGCAGTTGCAGACCCTTGTGGTCTATCCCCCTTTAATTCTCATGGAAATCCCAGGAGACGTCAGTTACGGGCCTGTGCGCAGGGACCAGGTCAGCCACCAGCCTGCAACCCACACAGCCAGACCGTCCAGGAGCCAAAACAAGTCCCTGCCCTGTGGTCAGAGGTCTGCTTTGGATGACAAGTGACGTCAGTAATAGATAAACTTCCTAGCCATTCCCTTATTCCCTTGAAGGGCTGATCTAAGGCTCTCTTAAATTACAAGGTACATGGCCAGCTTCTAGCAGTCCAGCTTGTGAACGGGAACACCCCCTTGGAGCACCTGGCCACTCACCTGTTATTCCTCAGATCAGGACTTGGGCTGGTTCGAGTCCTCCCACACGTCCTTTTACTAGTCTCAGGGTCCTGCTTCCAGCTCAGTGCCCTAAGTTTCATATAGGAGATCCTGTGAGGCTGTGAATTGAGCCTTTAGCTGCGGCCGCCAGGATCACATTTAGGGGTTTCAGCTGTGTCCTATGGCTTCAAGATTAATATTAAAGATGCTTTTCTGGTTATCAAGGATGCTCTCTGGTCTTCTTTCAGGGCCTTGGGGTGGTGATCTGTCAGTCTTCAATGCTGTCATAGAACCTACACCCTAGACTAGCTGGGAGGCTCCACCTAGAACCACTGGTGGCCACTGGGTCTTTCAGGCTTTGCCTTCAAAGCAGGTGATCACTGCAGCACTTCCTAGTCTACCTCCTGATATCTCAGCAGAACCAGGATTGAGCAGTCTGTAAAGAACAGGTGTAGGCCAGGCATAGTGCTGCACGCCTTTAATCCCAGCAGTAGGGAGGGAGGCAGAGGCAGGTGGAGCTCCAAGTTTGAGGCCTCCCTGGTCTACAGAGGGAGTTCCAAGACACACGGAAACCTTGTCTCAAAACAAAAACAAGAAAAACAGATTTGGTTCTAGGATTCCCCAGGCCAGAGAGTCAAAGGTCACACCTGGCTTTTTGCTGCACCATTTGTGGCAGGCAGCAGAAGAGCAAGGGAGAGGTGTCCAGACACCCATTACAGTAGTAATTCGCTAACAACTAACCCATTCCTAAGGGCTGAGCACTCATGAGCTAGAAACCTCTCTAAGGCCCCTCTTTCCCCCCTCTCTTTCCCCACTGCTGCACTGGGGGCTGAGGCTCAGTGCATGGCCTTTCTGGTGCAAGTCTCACTGCGTGATTTCAGGGGTCCATTTTCCCCAGCAATAGGATCATTCCCGCCCTCCAGCTTGGTGGGGACAGATGAGCAATCAAAATGTTCACAACTCTGAGCAACTATTTCCAGGAAGTCAGTGCCGTTACCAGGCCCGTTGTCAGCTGGCACAGAGAAGTGAAGACCACCACCCAGGTACATGACTGTGGGATTTAGGTCAGAGAACATGTAAAAACATTACCGTCCTCAGAGTTACTCTGGTTATACTGAGGCTGGAGGGGTGGAGTTATCAACACGGCAATCCCATGGTCTCTGAGGGTTTCCCAGCTAAAAACTCCTAGAGAACAAATTTCAGGAGTACTACTACTCTTCTCACTGCCAAAAACACTCTCAGAGCCAAAAGGCTCCTCCTGCCTCCCTTCCCCCTCCCCCAACAGGAACTGACTGAAATCGTACTGGGCACAGCTCTGCTAAGAATGGGTTGCAGGCCAGCAGCACCTTGTGCATGGAGAGCTGGCAGCCCAGGCAATCAGAGTGAGCAGAGGCACAGCATAGGCAATGATGCCAGCCTGCTGGTACTGCAAAGCCTAGTGGGCAGAGCATTTTCTCAGCATGCTCAAGGCTCTTGGTCCCATCCCCAGCAACCTCCCTCAACAGAAAACCAGAGAAGAATGTGCCTCAAAGACAGACTCTGAGAGGAGGATCAGCTCACCCAGCGTCACTGGTGCAAACCTGCCACAGGTCCCAGTACTACCAAAGTCCAAGCTTTTATGTTCTGAGCAGTGTATGTTAAGTGTCCAGGGAGCACACTTGAGCCAGGAAGCAAGGAGTTAGGGGAAGACCTGACTAGTGAGATTTGGTACATTTATGGGTTAGAGAAGGGATGGGATCCACAAGGCCTGACTAAGAGCTTGGAAGATTTGTTCCTGAAAGTCAACGTGAGGGAATCCCAGCCAGGCATGCTGTGAGACCGAGAGGAGAGTAGGGATGAGCCTCTCCAGTGGCTGAAATCGAAGAAATGTGTTACTGTTTATATCTGGAATGTCCCCCAAGGTCTGTATGTTAAAGGCTTGGTCCGAAGCCTGTGGTGCTCTGGTGTGATGAGGGAGGCAGTAAGGGGTAGATACTTGGGGTGTACTCTTGAAGGAGATAATCTGGACCTGGTCCCTTCCTCTTTGCTTCCTGGTACCACAGAGATTAGCAGCTTCCTCTAAACCACTGTGGTATATGATGTACATACTCACCAGAGGCCCCAAGGCAAAGGAGCTAACTGCTATACAGGATTGAAGACAAGAGGCACAATCATTCCTTAAAAAAAAGGGGGGGGGGGCCAAGGCAGCACACGCCTTTAATCCCAGCACTCAGGAGGCTGAGGCAGGCAGATCTCTGTGAGTGTGAGGCCAGTGGTCTTACATAGCAAGTCCAGGACAGCCAAAGGTTCACAGAGAAACTCTTGTCTTGAAAGAAAGAAAATAAAAAATGGGGCTAACATAGCAAGGCTGACCCTACACTGATGATCCTCTGGCTTCTGCCTCCCGAGTGCTGAAGCTACAGGCCTGTGTTACAATGCCCAGTGTGGTTTTTGTTTGCTCTTTGAAATAGATCTCATCGTGTAGCCCAGGCTGGCTTCAAATTTGAGATCCTCTTTGAGAATCACAGTTGTGATGTTTTACCTGCTAGCTATGGGGAAAAAAATGTGTGAAGTCAGAAAAGCAGGCCATCACATGTATATCAGCTCGTTTGTCAGAATGACCAAATCTTACAGAAACAACAAAAGATTTATTTTGGCTTACAGTTTCATAGGGTTCAGCCCACCATGGTGAGGAAGCTCTGGCAGAGCTCCTCGCAGCATGAATGTCACAGAGGCTCGCAGCCTGTGGATGTCAGGAGGCTCATTCTGGCACAGTGAGGATTGGAATGTTCACAGATCCTATGCCCGTCTCCCTAATTCAGGAATTCGTCTGGTCTCACCAGCCTGATCCCCACCAACTCCATGTTCACTACCCTGCATCTGCTCCTTGGACTTCAGGATCCCCATTTCCCCCGTGATCTTCCTCTACCCACAGCCTGTCAGAATGGTGTTACCAGCTAGGTTTCAGGTGCTCAAAACAGGACCCTGAGAGAGAGGTTTCAAATTCAACCTATAACCGTATATCGGCCTCCTGAGCTATCCCTTTGAGGTCCAGGGTTCTTCACCACACAGAACCAGGGAGAACACAAGGCAAACCAGGAAAGATGAGGCTTCATCTTCCTAGGATCTGCTAGTGCCTGGGGACAGTCGTGAGTAGGTCCACACACTAAAACTCCAGGGAGGCTGCCCATTCTACACAGGAGCACAGCGCCTAGCCAAGGACCTAGAAGGATTTCTTCAAGACAGGGTTTCTGTGTGTAGCCTTGGCTGTCCTGGACTCACTTTATAGACCAGGCTGGCCTAGAACGCACAGAGATCCACCCGCCTCTGCCTCCCTTACACATGTTACACCAACACCCTGCTGTTAGTGTTCTGCCCAGTTCACGAACCCCAAAAGACCAGGAATAAACAGACTCCGCTGTAAATACATGAGGTTCTTTTTATTACATATCATCCACACTGCCAAAGTGGTGAGAGCTGAGAGCCCTGTGCTCAGGTTAGTTGGGTGATTTAAAGATTCTGGTCCCTCCCAGCATGTCCAAGGCAGGGGCGATTCCTGCCTGGCAAGCATTTATTGGTCAAAATGCTACATTTTGAATTGATTGGCTATAGGAAGGTCCCCAGACCATTAATGACCTGGTGTCCCTCCCTAGGGGGGATGGGCCAGTTTCCTAGCAACTGTATCTCTAGTGGGTAGAGAAAGAATGCAGTAAGGCGGTCCTTCCCCTCAGGGCATTGCTGGACTTCACCCACCTAGTTCAGGCCTTAATTAATAATAGCTGCTAAGTTTTAATCTTTTGGTCGCTCATTAGGGTTTCTTAAAGAATGGACATGAGCCTGGTGTGGTGGCACATCCTTTAATCCCAGCAGGTGAGGCAGAGGCAGGTGGATTTCTGTGAGTTTGACAACAGCCAAAATGAGAGCCTGTCAATGGAAGGGAGGGAGGGAGGGATGAGGGAGGAACCAAGGCCTAAAGGATGCTTTGTGCCCAGCATAATTCATCTAAGCAGCCTAGGGGCAATGGCAGGGCCCACGTTAACACTTACTTAGCCTGGTACAGTGGTGTGGTGCAGGCAGAGGCAGAGGCAGGGGAATCTCTGTGAGTTCAAGGCCAGCTTAGTCTACACAGTGAGTTCCAGGAGAAAGAACTACACAGAGTTCTCTACAACGCTACACAGAGAAACCCTGTCTCCAAAAATCCAAAACCAAAATCAAGCAAGCACACATGCAAACAAAAACAAACCATAACACCTGATAGCCAGGAAATAATAGCATGGAAAGGATGGGGCCCCAATGCTTTCAGTGTCACAGGATCAGTGACCTAACCTCCATAGGCTCCACCCCTCAAAGGTCCTACCACCTCCCAAGAGCACCATGGACTTGGGACTATACCTTTAGTCCCAAAGCCTTTGGGAAATACTGCATTCCAACCTTAGCAAAGAACAGTTGATAATATTACAAAGGATTCACTTCCCAGGTGCTGTGGACAGAAGTCTCCACCCCCGGCAGGTATCAAATGCTTGCCACAGCTACATTGAGACAGAGATAAACATATGGCAGACAGGAAGTGAAGTGAACTTACTGGAAAGAAAACTCTCCAAATTCCTCAGGGCTCCGGGGAGCCTGTGGTTGCAAAGCAATCCTCAGGTCCCAAACCTGTTTGGGCAGAAGAACTCCAAAAACCTATGCTCTCACAGCAGATTTGAGCCCACGGAAAACTGAATGGGGGAAGGTCCTCCTGCAAGGCAGATTCAGGTCCATCCCCAAAGGGCAGGGAAGGGGCCTTTGAAAGGCATGCCCTAGAGATTCTGCTGAGGCCTCAGCTGTGCCTGTCCTCCCCTTCCCTCTTCTAACAGGAACTAGACGGTGTGCATTCCGCCCATGCTCCACCCTCTATTTGAATTGGGGAAAACAGCTCAGACTTTACTAGAGAACACTGGATGGAACGTGGGAAGAGTGAACCAGGATGGTCTAGAAGGAAGGAACGCTGCAGGGAGATAGAACAGGAAGTGCACGACTTGAAGAACGGAACAGTTGGCAGCCCAACAGGACACACAGGGGCAGGGGTGAGCAAGGCCCACAGTGACTTCCTTGAATTTCAACTTAGCGAAAGAACAGTGCTCCAAGGATTTCTGAGCAGGGGAAGCACGATCTGCTTGAGGTTTTAGAAAGTTCTTCTTGGACTGGGGCAATGGATCAGTCCATGCAGGATACATAGCCATCGGGACCTGAGTTAGGATCCTCA